ACTTTCCTCAGGGCCCGGGGGTGCAGTGAGGGCTTCTTCCCACCAGAGGGTGCTCTAGGTCTGTGCACCGTCCTCATCAGGAACAGTGGTGTAGTGAAGGCTGCTTCCCACCAGATGGCATGCTAGGAACATGAGCACCATGCCGCCTCGCCTCAGGATCTGGGTGTAGGGATGGTTTCATTCCACCAGAGGGAGCTCTAGGCATGTGAGTGCCATGTTACTCTCCTCAGGACCCTGGGTGGAATGAGGGCTTATTCCCACCAGAGGGAGCTCTAGGCATGTGAGCGCCATGTTACTCTCCTCAAGACCCTGGGTGGAATGAGGGCTTATTCCCACCAGAGGGAGCTCTAGGCATGTGAATGCCATGTTACTCTTCTCAGGACCCTGGGTGGAATGAGGGCTTATTCCCACCAGAGGGAGCTCTAGGCATGTGAGCGCCATGTTACTCTCCTCAAGACCAGGGGTGCAGAGCTGCTTCCCACCAGAGGGCGCATCCCTCCCCTGCCCTGCTCAATCCATCGACTTTGCCCCGCCTCTTCTGTTCTGGCCCCTCCTACAGCCCCGCCCTCCAGCTTCAGCCACGCCCGCTCCAGCCACCTTTCCCCGAGGCTGTCCCTCCCCATGGCTCCAGCCTCTGCCCTTCGAGCAGCGGGTCCGGCTCTGCCCCTTCCCACCCGGAGAGACAGGGCTGCGAACCGCAAGGGAAGCCGAGCCTGTAGACCAGACGGCTTCGGCCGCTGCCTTGGCGCCTTGCACTGGCCTTGGAGTCCGGCCTTCCCTCCCTGCCGAGGCCCGCCCGGGAGCCGCCCGCTCCACCCGGCCGGGCCGGGGTTGGGCTCCACGCCGCGGCACCGCGCGGGCCAGGCCGCGAGCCTTGGGACTCTGCGGCGCGGAGCGGGCGGGCCGCGGGGGCTGGCGAGGGATGGAGGCCGGTCAGGCGTGGGGAGGGGAGGGAGACCAGGGCTGCCCGTTACATCCGACCCCACCTCCCACCCTCCCCTCAAAGGCGGAGAGGTCAGGACGTACGGAGCGGGACAAACAGCAGCAAGTGGCCGGAGCGCAGAACCACGTCTTCAGGAGGAGGCCCAGGCACGACGGGTTTGAAGCGGAAGCTCGGTACCTACCACGTTTGCGGTGCACCGCGCACACGGCGGACGGACGGACCGCAGCCAGCACAGACACACAGAAGCACAGCCCGTGACTTGGGCGAAGGGACAAAAGCGGCAGCACACGGTGCCAGACCAACTGAACAGGGATCCAGGGCTTTGCCTGAACCGCGGCCGGGGTTCGAGTTCTTAGGCGCAGCAGCAGCACACGCGCCACAAAGGGAAACCATGAAACCGCATCTCACCCAGCTGCTCCACAAAGACAAGCTACAAACGGGAGAAAACCATCAAGGACAGTGTCATAAAAGCCTAATCAGAACAGCGACCGTACCGAGGGGCCGGCCATGTCACCAGGAGATGATCAGCCGCTGTCTTTTCCCCGATAGAATACCACGGACGGGCCTGAAATAGGAGAACTGAATTCCTCTTCGCTCTGGGTGTTGGGAGTCTCAGATCCAGGTTGTCAGGCTTGCTGTCCTGAGGCTTCTCCTGCAGCCTGCCCAAGGCTGCACTCCTCACCAGGCCAGTCACAAGAAAGTGGACCCTGCCACTGGCTTTCTCCTGTCTAGAACCTTTGTGTACACGTGGTCACCACAGGAGGTGCGCGGGGTCTGCGCTTCCACATATGAATCCAAGGAGGCAAAAGTCAGCCTGTTCAATCCACTCTGGAACCAGTTTCATGGAGTAAGACAGACATACAAATGGAGAGAAACCACTTATTTTTATTGTGCAAAGAACTGCTCTCCACTGAGACTTTCACCATTTGCTGTCCATGTAATAGACACAGGTATCACTCCAACACGGGAACCTTCATGAATTAAGCGATACCATCAAATGCAAGGTGAAACTTCAGTAACAAAGTGCTCAGTTCTCATCTTTTATGTCACGCACTGGCACACAATAGCCCGGTTAATTGCCTACTATCCTGGAGAGGTGCAGAGAGGATCTGCAGACTAATCTCCTACGTTTGGTACATTAAAGTTTTCCTGTGACTTTTGAAGTCTAGGTGGTTCTGGAGATAGTTCATACGGTGAAATAGAATTTTTTCATGTTGTTGGGGCTGGGAAGGTGGCTCAGTGGTAGAGTGCTCGCTTCGCATGCATGAGGCCCTGGGTTCAATTCCTCAGCACCACATAAGCAGAAAAAGCTGGAAGTGGCGCTGTGGCTCAAGTGGTAGAGCACTAGCCTTGAGCTGAAGAGCCGAGGGACAGAGCCCAGGCCGAGCTCAGGCCCCATGACTGACAAAAACAAAAACAGAATTTTTTCATGTTGTTAATGACAAGATCATCTAATTTCCAGAAATTCATGTCAGTCTGTTTCTGGGGGTTTTAACTAACCATTTCTAACATAATATACAGAAATCACTACAATGAGGATATGAGATTGTTTTTATTTTTAGCCAGTCCTGGGGCTTGAACTCATGGCCTGGGCATTGTCCCTGAGCTTCTTTTGCTCAAGGCTAAAGCTCTACCACATAAGTCACCACACTTCTGGCCTTTCCTTTATATATGGTGTTGAGAAATTGAACCCGGGGCTTCATGCATGCTAGGCAAGCATTCTGCCACTAAGCCACCTTCCCAACCATATTTATTTCCTTATTGAACAGAAAATGCTAGCATTCACAAGTTTCAGTTAAGGTTAGCTCTGTTATAAATTTTATTCAGTCTCATTCACGTCACTGAGCAAAAGAACTTTCAACACTTGCCTCTTTGCACCAGAGGCCTTACAATACAGTTGCGATACTTGTGGCATTACAGAACCAGTACCACGCTTGGCATGTAGTAGAAAGAGACCCCAATGCTTTGCGTGGTGGGCGCTAGTTCCTAACAGGTACTGTGCAATCACATACCGATTCTGACCTTCAACAATCAATAACCATCACTGCAGTATAATCTCCACCTAACACAGCAATGTAGTTATCTCTGGTTTTGCTCATACCAGGATAACCCTGTTTTGGAATAAAGCAATTCAAATATGAGGTTCTCTGCTAATATTATATCCCATTTGTGTTCTTTGTATCTACAACAAGGATTTTAGAATTACATTTTAATAGGGCCAGGAAGGTGGCTCAGTGGTAGAGTGCTTGCCTCCCACGTATGAGGCCCTGGGTTCAATTCCTCAGGACCACATACTCAGAAAAAGCCAGAAGTGGTGCTGTGGCTCAAGTGGTAGAGCGCTAGCCTTGAGCTGAAGAGCTCAGGAACAGTGCCCAGGCCTACAGTTCAGGCCCCACGACCGACAAAAATAAAAAAAACAAATTACATGGTTATATACTGCCAAAATTTACATCCCTTCCCCCAAACTTATCAGTGTCCTTTTTCTCTAGAAATAACTACAGTCCTGAAATGGTGAAACTCAAGAAGCACCAACTTTCCAGGAAACCTGGTCTAGAAGCATGGATTCAATATCCATGACCATTCCTGGTATCTTGCAGGCGTATGGCCGTGTGTTTTTGTGTCCCCCGTCAGTGTATCCCCATCCCCTTTGTTCCCTGGATTCCTTGCAGTTCTGTGCTTTTCTTAAAATATAAATTATTGTTTAGATGATGTAAACAGGATTTAGAGCTTCATGAGTACATTTCTTGTCAAGCATTGTTACTCCCTCCTTTTTCTGCTACTGTCCCTTCCCTCCCCCAGTTCTGTTACTTTTAAAGCAAGGCTTCCTTCTTACTTTGTCCAAAATGACCTGCAAACATCCTCATCAGAGGCCCATTTATTCTTTGGCGTTTAGGTCTGCCAGGGAACACTGCTAATGGTTATACAGCAAGACAAACAGACTTACTGCCATGGATATCCTACAGAAATATAAAAAGCACAGTGAAGTATTATTAAAACTAAGACTAGAGGTAGGGGATTCAGCTTAGTCAAAGTCCTAGCAAGTGCAAGGCCATGAGGTCCATCCTCAGCTAATACTAAAATACTAAATGCAAATACTAAAAATGACATAACAGCTAGGCACTGATGGCTGACACCTGTGACCTTAGCTACCCTGTAATACTATCTCAAATTCACCCACAAAAAAAAGCCAACCAGGCACCAGTGGCTGTCATCCTAGCTACTCGGGAGGCTGAGATCGAGGATCAAGGTTCAAACCCAGCCTGGGTAGGAAAATCCATGAGACTCTTATCTCCAATAAACCACCAGAAAACCAGAAGTGGCGCTGTGGCTCAAATGGTAGAGCACTAGCCTTGAGCTGAAGAGCTTGAGGACAGCGCTCAGGCCCAGGGTTCAAGCCCTACAACGGACAAAAAACAAAAACAAAAAAGCTTAAATGGTGAGCTGTAGTTCAAGTGGTACATCGTCCTGGTATGCAAAAGTTTAGAGATAGCATCAATTCCGAGTTGAAGCACAACAACCAAGGGGAAAAAAATAACTATCAATCATTAGAGAAGGGGAGAAAAACACATACCTTTAAAAAAAAAAGATACTTGGCCAAGGGAAGGAAAAATTGGCTTTGGCCATGCAAAAGTGTTAGTTACAACTTAGTAAGCGATTCAGACAAGGGTCTTGATGCGCTATCTCATTTCCATCTGTCTTTTTTTCTTGTGCCTTTTTGCGTGTAACACATAAGAAGGATAAATCAGGGATCTTTGTTGGAGGTGCTATGTTTTGAAGCAGCACCCATGCTTGGATGGCACTATGCCACTTGAGACACCCAAACACTGCTTACTACTAGTTATTTAGGAGACTGTCTCAGTTTCTGCACAGACTAGATTCAAAACACCATCCTCTGAGCTCAGCCTCCTGAGACACAGCCAATTAATTAACCATTCATGTCAGCATGTGTAAATAACTACAAGAAAGGCTCCTGAGCAACTAGGACAGACTATGTACATCCATGGATTATGGAGCCAGATAACCCACAGCAATTTCAGTTGCAATGTCCACTGTCACAGTACCTACTACTTAATTTTTTTTTATTTTCATTATTATAGTGTTGATGTACAGAGAGGTTACAGTCACAAAAGTCAGGTAGAGCACATTCCTTTTTTGGACAATGTCACCCTTTCCCTTGCTCTCCCTGTTTCCTCTTCCATCCCCACTGTCAAGTGGTATGATGCTCACAGGTGTCTAATGAGTACCACTGCTACATTTTGTTCACCCGTTGTGCCTCCATTTCTGTGCACACCCTTACCACCTCCTAAGTTCAGATAAACAATACAAAAAGAAAACAAAAAAGGCACAAGGACAAAAAACATTTCCATTTCCTGGAGTTCACTGTTATGATCAGAGGCAAATAGGCATTGTGACTTTGTGTTGCTCTTCTAAAAGTGTTATCCTTTGGTCTCACTGTATGACTGGAGTCACACAGAATTTAGCATTGACTGACATATTTTAGATCCAGCTTCAACATGAGAGAAAACACGTGCTCCAACACCTCAGCGTCTTACCACATTCACATTCATAGGGTTTTTCTCCAGTATTTGTTTATGGAAATTTAGAACTCAAAGCCTTACCACACTGTTTGCATTCATAAGGACTTCCTTACCATGTGTTCTCTCATGTACTCAAGGCATCTGTGATCTCTGAAGAATTTTTCACACTGTTTACATTCATGGGGCTTGGCTCCACTATGAGCTTTCATGGACTTGAAGGGAGGTGAAATTTCTGAAGCTCCTCCAAGACCGTTTATATTTGTAGGGTTTCTCTCCAGTATGGATTCTTTCATGTTCTCAAAGAGACAGAAAAGTACTAAGAACTCTATCACACTATTTACATTTATACATTTCTCCAGTATGAGTTCTTTCATGTATTCTAAGGTAGCTAGAACAACTCAGGGTTTTACCACAATATTTGCATTTGCACAGGTTCCGTTCAGTATGAGTTCTCTCATGAGCTCGAAGGCAGCTGAGGTATTTGTAGGTCTTCCCACACCGTTTACATCGATAGGAACATATTTTAGCATGAGCATGTTCGTGTACTCGAAGGCAGCGGAGATATTGGAAGGATTCACCACATTGTTTGCATTCATGGGGCTTTTCTCCAGTATGAATTGTTCGATGCACTTTAAGAGAAGCAGAACAACTGAAATTTTTACCACATTCCTTACATTCATAGCATTTTTCTCCACTATGTATCCCTTCATGTATTCGAAAGTAACGAAGACTTCTGAAGCTTTTTCTACAATATTTACATTCATAGGCTTGCATTCCACTATGAACTCCTTCGTGTATTTGGAGGCTGCTGTGACACAAGAAAGCTTTTCCACATTGTTTGCATGCATAGAGGTTTTCTCCAGTATGAATTCTTTCATGCACTCGAAGATAACTAGAACAACTCAGGCTTTTGCCACAATGTTTACATTCAAAGGGATTCTTAGCACTATGTGTTCTCTCATGTTCTCGAAAGTACCTGGCATGTCTGAAGGCTTTTCCACACTGTTTACATGCATAGGGTTTTCCTACACTGTGAGTTTCTTCATGAACTTTAAGACCATTAAGAGAACTGAGACTTTTACCACATTGCTTACATTCATAGGGGTTTTCTTCACTATGTGTTTTTTCATGCATTCGAATGGAACTACGTTGTTTGAAGACTTTTCCACATTGTTTGCATGCATAGAGTTTTTCTTCAGTATGAATTCTTTCATGCACTCGAAGATAACTAGAACAACTCAGGCTTTTGCCACAATGTTTACATTCAAAGGGATTCCTAGCACTATGTGTTCTCTCATGTTCTCGAAAGTAACTGGCACGTCTGAAGGCTTTTCCACACTGCTTACATGCATAGGGTTTTCCTACACTGTGAGTTTCTTCATGAACTTTAAGAGCATTAGGAGAACTGAGACTTTTACCACATTGCTTACATTCATAGGGGTTTTCTTCCGTATGTGTTTTCTCATGTATTCGAATGTATTTAAGTTGTTTGAAGGTTTTTCCACATTGTTTGCATGCATAGAGTTTTTCTCCAGTATGAATTCTTTCATGCACTCGAAGATAACTAGAAGAACTCAGGCTTTTGCCACATTGTTTACATTCATAAGGATTCTTAGCACTATGTGTTCTCTCATGTTCTCGAAAGTACCTGGCACGTCTGAAGGCTTTTCCACACTGCTTACATGCATAGGGTTTTCCTTCAGTGTGAGTTTCTTCATGAACTTTAAGAGCACTAGGAGAACTGAGACTTTTACCACATTGCTTACATTCATAGGGGTTTTCTTCACTATGTGTTTTTTCATGCATTCGAACAGAACTAAGATGTTTGAAAGTTTTTCCACATTGTTTGCATGCATAGAGTTTTTCTTCAGTATGAATTCTTTCATGCACTCGAAGATAACTAGAAGAACTCAGGCTTTTGCCACATTGTTTACATTCATAAGGATTCTTGGCACTGTGTGTTCTCTCATGTTCTCGAAAGTAACTGGCCTGTCTGAAGGCTTTTCCACACTGCTTACATGCATAGGGTTTTCCTACACTGTGAGTTTCTTCATGAACTTTAAGAGCGCTAGGACAACTGAGAAATTTACCACATTGTTTACACTGATAGGGATTTTCTTCAGCATGTGTCTTTTCATGTATCCTTAGGTACCCAAGTTGTTTGAAAGTTTTTCCACATTGTTTGCATTCATAAGACTTTTTTACACTCTGATTATTCTCATGTAGTTGACCTGAACTGTAACAAACAAAGGACTTCTCATTTTGCTGGCATTTATATAGAGATTTTGCTTGGTGAGTTTGTTGATGTACTTGAAATGAACTAGAAGTATCAAAGATTTTCAAACATACCTTACATTCATAAGGTCCATTTATATTGTGAGATGCCATGTGTTGCTGAACACTTTTGTGAGAGATACATGTTTTTCCACATTTTTTATATTTATATAGCTTCTCTCTGCATTCTTTATGTTCATATTTGTATCCAGAGTGAGATATTACATGCCTATTAAAGGAAGAATGATATGTGAAAAATTGGGCATTGTCCATGAGCTTCTTTTGCTCAAGGCTAGCACTCTTATTACTTGAACCACAGTGCTACTTCTGGTTTATGTAGCACTGAGGAATCAAACCCAGGGCTTCAAGTAGGCAAGCACTTTACCACTAAGCCACATTCCCAGCCCCATGAAAATCTTTACAGTATTTTCACATGCTTTTAGTCCCATTGAACTTTTCTTCCCTATATTAAGATTTGGAGCCAAGTGAAAGTATCGCCACACAAACCAAACTCTATCTGCCAAATAGCTTCTATAAAATGACAAGACATCAGTAGTAAGTGCTTTACTAATGAATATTTACTCATAGGTCTTAAACATAACACTGCTCCACAAATGAGGTGAAATGTATATTTTCTGTTGTCTAGGTAGGAATAGTTGAAGCACATGTTTCACTTACTTGGCAACATGGCTTCCACAGAACTATCACAAGAGCAACATTCATGTTTCCTTTTTTTACTACTGTTTGCAAGTGAAATGTTGTGCCAAACATTTAATATCTTTGTTACATCGAAATATATTTTTTGATAATTTTTTTCTAATAATTAGAAGTTGTGCTCATTTCTTTTTTTTTTTTTTCATGGGAGTGCCAGTCCTGGGGCTTTAACACAGGACCTGGCCACCATTCCTGAGCTCTATCTACTCAAGGCTAGTGTACTACTTCTTGAGCCACATCCCTAATTCTGGCTAATTTGGGTGATTAAGATAAGAGTCTTAATCATCTCTGTGATTAAGATAAGATGCAGATAAGAGTCTGAAAGACTTTCCTGCTTGGGCTGGTTTCAAACCATGATCCTAATATCTCAGCCTCCTGAGTAGCTAGGATTACAGGTATAAGCCACTAGCACCCAGCCTTTTGCTTCTTTTTATTTTTATTTTATTTTTTTGCCAGTCATGGGGCCTCAATTCTGGGTCTGGGCGCTGTCCCCCCAGCTTCTTTTGCTCAAGGCTAGTGCTCTACCACTTGAGCCACAGCACTATTTCTGGTTTTTCCTGTTTATGTGGAACTGAGGAATCAAACCCAGGGATTCATGGATTCATGGATGCTAGACAAGCACTTTTCCACTCAACCACATTCCCAGCCCCAGCATTGCTTCTTTTATGCATGTAAATTACCTGATATTTCTCTGAGAATTTTTGTGCTCATCATTCATGTTCAGGTCTGTCCATCTGCGTCCTAAATATAACCAAAAAATATTACCAATTATAAATTATAGAAAAGTAATACTAATTTCTAGGTTATATACATGGTAACCATGCCTGAAATATTCAAATTTTTCCCTATCTACATTCCAAATCTGTTGTCTATTTAGAAAAGAGAAGATATTGTGTATGTGTGTGCACATGCCCCTAACACTCTTGCTGGGCTTTGTCATTCCAGGCTGGTGCTTGGCCACTTAAGGCACACATCCATCTCTGGCTTTTGTGGTGGTTAACTGGAGATAAAGCCTCACAAACTTTCCTGAAAGGCTGGCTATTTACCACAATCCTCACATCTCAGCTTCTTGATCAGCTAGGATTACAGGAGTGAGCCATCAATTCCCGTCCAAAGGATGGTATTCTTACCTATACAGTTGAAGTTGCTGAAAGTTTCCAGCATTACATCTCTGTAGAAAGTCTTCTGAGAAGGATTCAGCAAAGCCCACTCCTCCTTGGTAAATTTCACAGACACATCCTTGAAGCTGAAAGACTCCTAAAACATCCCATATACATATACAGAACAGGTAAACTTACAGTACTATAAATGTACAATAATTCATAAACTAGTCTCAAGATTCTGTGGTCTCCAAATATTTACTGATTAGCTGTTACTCCCACATACTTATAGTACTAGAACTGAGCTTTTGAGGAAAAGAAATGCAGCAGATATATGTGATACACACATATAAACTGCCTAAAAATTTTCATGAATCTTGTCTTTTAATACACAGATACTACCTCACTATGGATATAAAGTTTATGTTCCTCTCATTAATAGGGCAAATAAGTAACATGTGGTGCTGAACTAACCATAAATTCTTTATGGCGAGAATCACTAGAACTTGTTATAACCAAGTCCTGCCACCTGAGGTGCATAAGAAAAATCATTGCAACAGTCATGACACTGTCCTTATAAACTCAAGCTCCAAAAGTTTGACCTTGGGGCTAGGATATTGCTCAGTGGCATGGTGGTAACCACTAAGTAACATGACACAACCACAAAAGTGGCCCTGCTTGGAGGGGAAAACCAGCAAGGAGGGGGAATGGAGAGGGGAATGGAGGTACATTATATACATATGAAAAATAGCATAATAAATCCCAGCAAAAACGGCTAAAAAGCGGAGGATAGAAGGGAAACAGGAAAAATTAGATGGAGTTTGATCAAAGAACATTGTATGCACATTGTCAATATAACATGAAGCTGCTTTGTCCAATTATTTTATTAATTATTTATTTAAAAACAAATTTAAATGTAGCAGTGGTACTAATTAGATACTATGTTAAAAATAAACTAAATACCTTGTGGGAGAGGACAAGAAGGAAAACCTGAGAGAACAAGGGAAGAAGTGACATTGTGCAAAAAGATGTACTGCTGGGTGCCAGTGGCTCACACCTGTCATCCTAACAACTCAAGAGGCAGAGATCTGAGGATCATGGTTCAAAGCCAGCCTGGGCAGAAAGTCTGAGAGACTCTTATCTCTAATAAACCACCAGAAAACAGGAAATGGTCTTGTGACTCAAAGTGATAGAGTACTACCCTTGAGCTGAAGAGTTCAGGGACAGCACCCAGGTCCTGAGTCAAGCCCCATGATTGACCCAAAAAAAAAAAAATTATACTTATTACCTGACTATGTAACTGTAACCACTCTGTACGTTACCTTTATAATAACAATTACAAATTTTCTTAGATTAAAAAAAAAAGGAAAAATTTTGCCAGGCACTAGTGGCTCATGCCTATAACCCAAAATACTGAGGATGATCGCAGTTCAAAGCCAGCTCAGGCAGTAATTTCAAGAGCCTTATCTCCAATTAAGCAGCAAAAAGATGGAGGTAGAACTGTCGCTCACATTAAGAGTATCAGCCTTGCCAGGTAATGATGGCTCATACTTGTAATCCTAGCTACTCAGGAGACTGAGATCTGAGGATCGTGGTTCAAAGCCAGCCCAGGCAGCAAAGTCTGTGAGACTCTTATCTCCAATTAACCACCAGAAAACTGGAAGTGGAGCTGTGGCTCAAGTGGTAGAGCCCTTGCCTTTAGCTAAAGAGCTGAGGGACAGCACCTAGACCCCAAGTTCAAAGCACCCTGACCAACAAAAAGAGTGTCAGCCTTGAGCACTATGGACAATATGAGATGCTGGTCTCAAGTTCCAGGACCTGCAACAAAAAAAAAATTTTTTTTTTTTGGAAACAAGAGGTTCTTATTATGTCCTATATGCAGTTATTTCTTTTTGTTCTATTTTAATTTTCTGTACCTTTTACCTTGTACATAAGCTCAGCTGATAAGTGGAGGGTTAGGGAACCACAGACACAGGACAAAAGATGAACTAATACAACAATGATACTCATTAGACCCTGTGTTGGAAATGAACCTTATAACAGGAGGGAGGGTAGAATGGGAAGCAGAAAAAAAATGAGGGAGGGGGTAACAGTGTTTAAAAAGAAATGTACTCATTACCTTCCTTATGTAAATGTAACTCCCGTTTATCACCTTTACCATAATTTTTTTTTAAAAGATCATGCTCTCATTATGCCAAAATGGGAATTTTCAACCATCTCAGAAGTTGAGAATGCTGAGGCACTTACTAGATTAAACCCAACTTATTCAGACTCTATATTGACATCCCTGGCATTTTCTCTCCTGGCCTGGAATCATATTTGAAAATATAGTAGAACTTTGGGCAGGTTAGTGCTTCCGGATCTTGCACATCTCGATTTCTCTGTGAAACTGTGACTCTTTTCCACTGGGAGAGTGACAGCTTGACTCTGGGATACTGGTGGAAAGCCAGTTTCAGGTGCTGTCCTGGCTGAGTTCACTGGGGGTCACTTGTGAGATGACCCGGGGCCTGCAGCCCAGGCAAGGCTCATCTTCCATCAACTCTCACTTCTGTTTTATCTAGAACCAACTTTTTTTTTTTTAATAGTGGAGTTTAAATTTTTTTTTAATTGTGAAAATACCATAAAGAGGGTTACAATTACATGGGCAAGGCAATGAGTGCATTTCTTATCAAGCATTATTGCATCCTCCTTTGTTTCCCCTTACCATCCCTGAGCACTGTCCCTCAGCTCTTCAGCTCAAGGCAAGCTCTCTACCGCTTGAGCCACAGCGCCACTTCCGGTTTCCTAGTGGTTTATTGGAGATAAGAGTCTCACAGACTTTCCTGCTGGGGCTGGCTTTGAACCGTGATCCTCAGATCGCAGCCTCCTGAGTAGCTAGGATTACAGGCATGAGCCATTGGCGCCCGGCTTTTTTTTTTTTCCCTTGACAATCCTGGGGCTTGAACTCAGGGCCTGGGCACTGTCACTGATCTGCTTTTGCTCAAGGCTAGCACTCTACCACTTGACCCACAGCACCACTTCCAGCTTATTTTTTTTCTGTGTATGTCATACTAAGGAATCAAACTCAGATCTTCAGGCATGCAAGGCAAGCATTCTACTACTAAGCGACATTCCAGCCCTTCCTCCAGTTCTTAAAATTCATGTTTTGTTTTTTCTATATATGAGATAGCTTTCATTTTTACCTGGCATGTCATCTTTACACAAAAGACATTAATGCCATGTAGGAGACAAAATGCACTAATTAAAAAACATTCAATACAAAGCATGTTCTGTTTTACAAGAAACAAAAATATTGTCTTAAAATTTATATTGAGATTGTACAAAATGATATGAGAATATCTTTTTCTGGAAAATTTTCCATTTAAGAAATGTACACATGGGCTGGGAAGGTGGCTCAGTGGTAGAGCGCTTGCCTTGCATGCATGAGGCCCTGGGTTCGATTCCTCAGCACCACATAAGCAAAAAGGAAAAACCTGGAAGTGGCATTGTGGCTCAAGTGGCAGGGCCCTAGCCTTGAGCTGAAGAGCTGAGGGACAGCGCACAGGCCCAGAGTTCAGGCCCCATGACCGGACCAAAAAAAAAAAGAAAGAAAGAAATGTACACATTTCAGTGATGGGCACCGATGGCTAACGCCTGTCATCCTAGCTACTCCAGAGGCTGAGATCTAAGGATCACAGTTCAAGGCCAGCGTGGGCAGGAAAGTCTGTGAGATTCTTATCTCCAATTAACCACCACAAAAAAAAAAAAAAAAAAAACAGAAGTGGTGCTGTGGCTCAAGTGGTTCCACACTCACTTTGAGCTGAAGAGCTGAGGGAGAGTGTCTAGGCCCAGAGTTCAAGCCCCACAACTGACCAAAAAAAAGTCACAATTTTTTTTAATTTTTACTCATCTGTATTTTCCATCCCAAGACAAGCACATATAAAATAATGTTAAATTTTTCATATACATATGTATGAATGAACAAGCCTGTACATATGTAAACAAATCTAATCAATGATTAATAGATGAGGCATGTGCCGGGGGCTGATTCATGTAACCCTGAAATTGAGAGAGAACGTTTGTGGTTTGAAGCCATCAGAGCAGGAAAGTCTGTAAGACTTTTATCTCCAATTAACCACCAGAAAACCAGAAGTGGAGCTATGACTCAAAGGGGACCACACCCAGGTCCTGAGTTCAAGTCCCAAAACAGACAAAATAGCCTGAAGCTGTGACTCAAAAATTAGTTTCACCCTTAAATGAAGAAAGTACAGCACCAAGGTCCTTAGTTCTAGACCAGTACTGGCACACACAACTGTGAGTTATAAATGATGGAAAAGGCCTATATGGTCTCACTAAATTCTTCCATTAAGAAAGAACTGACAGGCTGGGAAGGTGGCTCAGTGGTAGACTGCTTGCCTTATGTGCATGAGGCCTGGGTTTGATTCCTCAGCACCACATAAGTAGAAAAAGCAGGAAGTGGTGCTGTGGCTCAAGTGGTAGAGTGCTCGGCTTGAGCTGAAGAGCTGAGGGACAGCGCCCAGGCCCAGAGTTCAGGCCCCACGACCAGACCAAAAAAAAAAAAAGAAAGAAAGAAAGAAAGGGAAGGGATAGTGGGAGAACAAGGGAAGGGGTAACAATGCTCAACAAGAAATGTACTCATTGCCTTACTCATGTAACTGTAACCCCTCTTTACAGCATCTTAACAATAAAATAAAATTTAAAAAAAAAAAATTAACAAGCTGGGCGCAAGTGGCTCATGCCTGTAATCCCAGCTACTCAGGAGGCTGAGATCTGAGGATCACAGTTCAAACCCAGACTGGGCAGGAAAGTCCGTGAGAGTCTTATCTCCAATAAACCACCAAGAAACCAGAAGTGGCACCATGGCTAAAGTGATAGAGCACTAGCCTTAAGCTGAAGGGCTGAGAGACAGCGCCCAGGCCCAGAGGTCAAGCTCCACAAAGGACAAAAAATGAAAATAAAAAACTGCAGTAAGAACAGGGCACTGGTGGCTCACACCTGTAATCAAAGCTTCTCAGGAGGCTGAGATCTGAGGATCACAGTTCAAAGCCAGCCTCCTAGGCAGGAAAAGTCCATAAGACTCTTGTCTCCAATAAACTCAGAACACCAGAAGTGGCACTGTGGCTCAAGTAGTAGAGTGCTTTCCTTGAGCTGAAGAGCTGAGGGACAGCGTCCAGGCCGAGTTCAAGCCCCATGACCGACAAAAAAATAAAAAATAAATGTTGCAATTACATTTCAAAATATATTTTTTAATTCGACCCAACAAATTAGGACAGATGTTTTATTTGTTTTGGGTGTGCTAATTACATCCAAACTTCAAAAAATGGAGCCAAGCATTGGTGACTCATGCTTACTATAATCGTAGTTACCTGTAGGCTGAGATCCGAGAATCACAGCTCAAAGCCATCTTGGGCAGAAAAGTCTGAGATTCTTATCTCCAATCAACTACCCAGAAGAAAAAGTCAGAAGTAGGGGCTGGGAAGGTGGCTCAGTGGTAAAGCGCTTGCCTTGCATGCCTGAGGCCCTGGGTTCGATTCCCCAGCACCACATAAGCAAAAAGAAAAAAGCCGGAAGTGGCGCTGTGGCTCAAGTGGTAGAGCACTAGCCTTGAGCTGAAGAGCTGAGGGACAGCGCTCAGGCCCAGAGTTCAGGCCCCACTACTGGACCCAAAAAAAAAAAGAAAAAGTCAGAAGTATTGCTGTGGCTGAAGTGGTAGAGTGCTAACCTAGAGGTGAAGAGCTGAGGGACAGTATCCAGGCCCAGAGTTCAAACCCCACAACCGACCAAAAAAAAAAAAAAAAAAGAGGTAGAGCCTAGCCTTGAGCTGTAGAACTCAGGGACAGAGCCTAGGCACAGATTTCAAGCCACATGACCAACCAAAAAAAAGGAAGAGTTTGTTCAAGATCACGCAGCAGCTGGGCTGGGAAGGTAGGTCAGTGGTAGAGTGCTTGCCTCACATGCATGAGACCCTGGGTTCAATTCCTCAGCACCACATAAGTAGAAAAAGCAAGAAGTGGTGCTGTGGCTCAAGTGGTAGAGCGCTAGCCTCGAGCTGAGGGACAGTGCCCAGGCCCAGAGTTCAAGCCCCAGACCAAAAAAAATAAAAATCACAAAGTTTACAAGGAGCAGGGCTCAGAGTAGAGCTCAGTGCCCCTTTGGCCCCAAGTCCAAGCAGTTAAGATGGTAAATATTGCCATCTAGAAGGCTGGGTTCCCAAAGACAAGGGACTCTCAGAGGTGCTAAGAGCCGAGACGGAATGTTGAGTGGATACTATGCTAGGTGTGCTAAGGGCAACCAACAGGACACCAGCAACAGTAGCCTCCAGTGAATACAGGACTACCAAGGATGGCAGGCAGATAACCAGGGAAGGGAAACAGCCCAGATGCCCTATCACCGATGGATGGATCAATAACATTGAGTGTGTGTGCGTGTGTGTAAGCGTGCATATGTGAATGTGTATATTTTTTAAAATAAACTGCCATCAGCATTTCCAGGGGCATTTTTCATGTTAAATACCTCATCCCTCTCTTGCCATCTAATTTCTCTGTAATTCTTTGATAACATTTTGTTACTTAGCTTGTTGATAGAATATGTTACATTGATGTGATAGGATACATTAGACTCATCACGGTTTTTTTTCTTTTGTGTGTTGAAATTTGCAACTAGGTTCTTACATGAGTAGCATGTAGTCTGCCACTTAATTACACACAGCCCTCCCCCCTTTTCTTAAATTAGAATAGACTGGTAGCATAAAACTGATATACAAAGGCCCCTCATATGCATATGAAATGAAAAACCAAAAGCCAAGAATATCGAGAAATTCTTACATACATAAATCTAAATAGAACCAAGACACAATTTCCAACGAAAATAGAAAGCTGACCTTAGAATTCGATATTTATTTATTTATTATTTTTCCTATGGTCGGTCCTGGGGCTTGAACTCTAGGCCTGGGCGCTGTCCCATGAGCCACAGAGCCACTTCCCGTTTTCTGATGGTTCATTGGAGGTAAGAGTCCTTTCCTGCCCGGGCTGGCTTTGAACCGCGATCCTCAGATCTCAGCCTCCTGGGCAGCTAGGATGACAGGCGCGAGCTTCTGGCGCTCCCTAACCGAGTGTGGGGAACGCGGAGGCGGGGCGCGGAGCCGCCCCGGGCCGGCGGGGAAACGGCAGCCCCGCCCCGGCGGCGCGTGCGGGAGGCCCGCCGGCCTGGGGGAGGGGAGCCTGAGGCTGTGCGTACTGAGACGGAGAGGCCCGGGCCGGCTCCGCCGGTTCCGCCAGGCTCAACGCAGGGTCCCACTCACCATTTCCCGGACTGCAGGGCCGCCCGGGTCTTGGCCCCGGCGGCTCAGACAGCGGGCAGGAGTTCCACGGGAGGCCGAGCAAGGCCCTCGGCACAGCGGGACGTAAGCAGCAGCCAGGGCGAGGCGCAGCGCGCCGTCCTTCCCGACGCACGGACCCCGATTGGTCGGACGGCCCTCCCGACGCGCCACCCCTCCGATGCGCGGGCCCCGATTGGACGGCCCTGCCCCTGACGCAACGCGCCTCCGACGCGCGGGACCTGATTGGACGGCCGTCCCTCCCGACGCACCGCGCCTCCGACGCGCGGGCCCGGATTGGACGGCCCTCCCCAGACGCACCGCCTCTCCGACGCGCGGTCCCCGATTGGACGGCCGCCCGCCGTACCCTTTCAAGACCGGGAACGAGGAGCCTGATCCCCGCCGGCGCTGGTCGCCCTCCCGCAATCCCAGCGGCGCTGGAGGCTGAGATCTGAGCGTCGCGGCTCCCCGCCAGCCGGGCGGGGCAGTCCGTGAGACGCACACCGGCACAACGCAGGGAGCGGTGGCCCGAGTGGTAGAGCGCTGTGGTTTACGAACGAGCAGGAAACCCTTCCTCGGCATCGGCACCCCAGGCCTGACGGCGGAACCCCCCAGCGGGAGCGAGGAACGCCCGCTGCGGCCTTGGAGCACCGACGGCCGCGGGGAGACGGCGTGGTCCACGGGGACGCCGCGTTCCGGGGACCGGGACGGAGCCCCGCGCGCGGCCGTGGGAGCCCCGCGCGCCCGCTGCTCGTGGTGCTCTCGGGAATCGAGCGAGTGGGAACGTGGGGCCCCTCTGCGCGCGATGGCTTCCCTGGAAGCACACAGAACGCTGCAGATGAATTCTGTTCTGCCGCCTGCGGCTGCAGCGCCCGCAACTCCCAGAGCTGCTCCTGACTGCAGCCGCCGTTACTAGAAGTTGCCAAGTAAAATGTCTGGGCTCCAGGGACTCACATCTGTAACCCTAACTTCTCAGTGCGCTGAGTCTGAGGATTGGGGGAGAAAGCAGCCGGGCAGCACAGTCTCCAGCTAACCACCGAGAAAGCGGAACTGGAGCCCGGCCTCAAGTTCCAACCTTAAGGAGAACCTCTAAGGAGCTTCTGCAAGCCCGGAGTTCAAGCCTAGGACTAGCACGTAAAAAGGTAAAATGTGTTGATCTCATTACAGAAATGAAAGACTCGCTTATTTAACACAGAATTGATTGTCTGAAGTACACCATTATGTCTTTGTTCATTTTTCCAGGTACTCATCCAATTATAAAATTAAGTAGGCTATCTTTGGTCCTCTTTTATTTTGGCACTTTGTTTGCATGATTCTCCTTGTGAACTCTATATTACATTCCATTTACAGATGTGTACATTATTTCCCCAACATCACTCTTAAATCCTATGGCTTTATAGTAAGTACTACAATGGGAAGCTAACTTCTTCAACATGGTAACAATATATCATATATATATCTTAGCGGGTTATGTTTGGCTGGCTGAAGATTTCTCTCCCCCGAACTAGAATATAAGCTTTATGAGAAATGAAACTTCATTGTACTTGATTGTTGTTTTTTTCCCTTCCTATATCTAGCATAATAGTTAGAATGTAGTAAAATACCAAAGGCAGTATTTTAGTAGAGTGAATGAAGATAGGAATGAAATAAAAGGCATGGAGAGGGGCTGGGAAGGTGGCTCAGTGGTAGAGTGCTTGCCTTGCATGCACGAGGCCCTGGGTTCAATTCCTCAGCACCACATAAGCAGAAAAAGCCAGAAGTGGCGCTGTGGCTCAAGTGGTAGAACACTTGCCTTGAGCTGAAGAAGAGCTGAGGGACAGCGTCCAGGCCCCATGACCAACCAAAAAAAAAAAAAAAGACAAGGAGAATTATCCACAAGTGGGAGGACATAAATGGTGATACCATTCATCTGGTGAAGAAAGATCCTAACCTTCCCTCCTGGGAGAACAACTTTTGGCGAACATGGAAAATAACTGGCTCAGTGTGGGACACGGTTCCCACCATACCTGTTATCCCAAGCCAGGTCCATGTCCTTCATCCATGCTCTGCCTGGCCTGGCCCTGAAACACACATCTGGGCCTCTTTCTGGAGAAAAGGTTAAAATTTTTTTTTATTTTTTGTTGGTTATGGGGCTTGAACTCTAGGTGCTATCCCTGAGCTCTTCACCTCAAGGCAAGTGCTCTACCACTTGAGCAACAACACCATTTCCAGTTTTCTGGTGGTTTATTGGAGATAAGAATCTTACAAACTATCATGCCCAAGTTGGCTTTGAATCACAAGCCTCAGATCTCAGCCTACTGAGAAGCTAGGATTATAGGTGTGAGCCATGATGCCCGGCTCAAGGTAAAAATATTTTAACCGGAGACCCTTCCAGTCACCACCACCTTGAATCTCAAAGACCAAATTAAGCCATAATTAGCAAAAATTACAGTGTCTTTGGCATGTTTTAGGAAGGGAGGCCTCTCACAGTTCCTTAGAAGTCTTTCTTCCATCTGGGCAAATGAACAGGAGAAGAATATCATTTATGATGAATGTAGGTACAGGGAGTCTGGGGGTTTTTTTAGAGGCATGAGTAAGGCTATCAAGAGAATACAAAATCTTACGTTTTTTCCCAAACCTCAAAACATTTGTATCAAAGTAACTAGTCTTCCTAATATCCACTGCATGCAGTGAAGAAGGAAGATACAAAAGTCCACACAATGGATGTGCACTGGCCACCAGAACTGAGAAATCCTCCAGTCATCTCTGTCATGCTAATTCTCCCTCACAGGGGAGCTGAGAACTTCCTTCCACACCCCAGGGACCAGGAAATCACCACGGCCTAGCTCAGTCCCCTCCTCTGATACATACCTTAGATCATAAGAAACTTCTCCCCTTCAGGAGTGAAACGGGGTGCCCATAAAGCAAAGCCAACCCAAAATCCACCCTTCCTGTGGCAGAATCTAGAATTCTAGGGGACAGGGAGGTAGCAAGGAAGCAGCACTGTGAATTATAGAGGTTTCATGTCATCAGCACATGTTTTACTGTCTAACACTCCACTTGCAAAACACAAGTTAAAATAAAAAATTATTGCAAATTTCAGCTTGTTATTAAGCCACGTGTGGGCCACATCTGAGCCTATGGTTCTGGGGAAGGATGGCCCTGTGTGACAAGGGGAGACTGACTTCTGGTTGACAAGGTCACACCGTGGGAGATCATAGTATCCCTCACTCTTTAACACAGAGCCCTCCCAGAGGGGTGCCCAGCCACGCCCACAAATATTTTGCAGCTAAGGCTGCAGGCTTTTCTTCCTGCAGGATTGGCAGTCAACCTTGCAATGGGCTGGGCTGAACACACTGAGGTTAGTGTCCTGCTCCCAGAGCCTACCAGTCAAGGTGAAGGAAGCATTTTCAGTACTGCAGCTAAAGCTGCAATTGGGAAAGGCACTCAGTGAGAAGGCTGGGAAGGAGGGTGTGTACTTCCTGGATGAAGCTGGGAAGCTGGACCCTCCAGGGCAAGTGCACTACTGGATGCCTGGCCTCTCCTGCTTGCCCTGTCCTGTCAAACATTCTTTCTCTGTGTATCTTTGTAGCGTGTCTTTGCTAGGGATGGTGGAAACACAAGAGTTTTATAACAAAGGCTAGGCAGCTGGGCACCAGTGGCTAATGCCTGTAATCCTAGCCACGCAGTAGACTGAGATCTGAGGATCATGGTTCAAAGCCAGCCTGGCAGGAAAGTCCCAGGGAGACTCTGATCTCCAATTAAACACTAAAAAAAAAAAAAAAAACCTGGTAGAGTGTTAGCCATGAGCACAATGAGGCTCAAGGACAGGGTCCAGGCCCTGAGTTCAGGACCCACAACCGACAAACAACAACAACAAAAAGGTAGGAGGTTGTTTGGGCCTGAAATACCAACACTTGAGAGGCAGGAGAACCATGAGTCCTAAGAAGCCTTGGGAGCTAGTGAGAAAGCCCAGGTGCAGTGGCGCTCCCCTGCAGTACCAGTACCAGATACCTGGAAGACCCGGACCGGGAGCTGGGGTGGCCTGCGTCCAGCACGCCAGGAGGCTCAGGAGTACCGTCGTAGAATGCGGGCCCTCGGCAAACAGGCCGCATCTGAGAAGATCCACCGCAGCAAGAAAGGGCTGGGGCTGGCTCAAGGAGCAGGCCGCTGGCCGGGTAAGCGCTGGGCCTGGGCCCGAAGAAAGACCGAGACCGACGCGGAGGGGAGGAGCACGGAGGGGGAGGGCCTCTTCCTTCCTTAGATTAGACGGTAGGTGGCTGACAGACAGACAGACACAGATGTCCTTAACGCCGCCAGTCCGGGGACACAGGCAATGTACCCGGAAGCGAGGAGGCGAAGCAGAACGGGTCCCGCGACCCACCAGCCCCGCCGGACGCCGGCTCGCGGCGAGCGGCCGCGGGGAGGCGCAGGCCAATGACGTCACCGGGCCCCGCCGACTGAGTGCCGCGCGCGCGCGCAGCGCCTCGGCCGCAGCTTCGCAGCGCTCGGCGGCATGAGCCTGCGCGCGCTCCTCCGGCCCCGCGCGGCGGCGGCGGCCCTCGCGGCCCTCGCGGCGAGCCGGCGCTGGCTGGGCGCGAGCGCGCGCAACCGCGCGTTCGCCAAGGAGCTCTTTCTGGGCAAGATCGAGCAGGTGAGGCGGGCCTGGTGTCCGCGCGGCGTCTGCCGCCCGCGCCCTGCGCACGGCCCGGGCACCGGGCCGCCCCCCCCCCCCCCCCCCCCCCCCGGCTCCGAGCGCCGCGGGGCCCGGCCGGCCCCTCCGCCTCGGCTGTGGGCCGCCCCGCGGGCTGCAGCTGTTGCTTTGGTGTTGGTCGGTCGGTCGGTCGTGGGCCTGGGCACTGGCCCTCAGCCCCGCAGCTCAGGGCGAGCGCTCCGCCACTGAGCCGCAGCGCCGCTTCCGGCTTTTTCTGCTGATGTGGTGCTGAGGAATCGAACCCAGGGCCTCGTGCATGCGGGCGAGCGCTCTCTTGCCGGGCTCTGCAGAGCCTGGAGGAGCCGCCAGTGCAGCTCCGGACTTGTCCCGCGATCTCTGAACGGAGCTCGGTGCTCTGGCACCTTCCCGGGACCGCTCGGGAGACTGCGCTTCCCCTGCCAGAAAGCTGGCTCCAAGGCTCTTCCCAACACTAACCCTTTCAGCCCCAGACCCGTCCTGTAGCAGCCCTCAATAACAAAGCACTCCTCTTCTTAGGACACGGCTTCTCGTGGGTCTCTCCCTGGGGCTGCTACAGAGACACGTGAGAGACCGAGTGAGTAGGGTTTGCGCAACACCAGCAGCCTCAGTCAAACCACTTGGCTTTAATTTGTTTGGCTTCTGTGAATTGGCTTCAGCGATAGGTTTACTTGAACAACATACTGGTGTGGGTGTGTTTTGTGCCGATCCTGGGGCTTGATCTCAGGGCCTGGGCACTGCCCTTGAGCTTTTTTGCTCAAGTGTGGAGCTCTATTACTTGAGTCAGAGCTCTACTTCTGACTTTCCAGGTAGTAAACTGGAGATAAGAGTCTCATGGACTTTTCTCCCCAAGCTGGCTTCTAACTTTGATCTTCAGATCTCAGTCTTTTGAGACTCCAGGGGTTTAGGTGTGAGCCACCAGTGCCTGGCTCATGCTTTATAATTTCAACAGCTGTTCATTGAAATTGAACTCTTCATTCGATTTTTGTTCGTTGTTATTAGAGTCCTTTCTTCTGTGCATCCAGGATCTCTCGCTGTAGCACCTTGGCACACATGAGGTGCCAGAGTGCCTCCTCTTCTGTCCTTCCCATTGGTGCCAGAATCACCTTTCTCTCACAGCTCATTGCCAAGGGCTAGAGCTCCAGTGAGGAGACAAAGGTGATTGTGGTGGAGATGGGTTGAGCCTCTGTGAATTCCATGAAGGAAACAGGTTTGTTCTAAGGAGCAACACTCCTGTTTTCCTTCTTGACCACGTTGACTATGGTATGATAAAGGACAGAAGGTTGAGTCAACTGTCTCTTAAATAGAGACCAACCTGTAGCCTGGGCCCAGAGAGGAGCAAACAGATCTGAGCACCTTGCTAGAATGGATGAAGTAGTTAGATAGAAGTGTAAAGGCTGGGGGAAAATTGAAGGCTCCTCTGAAGAACTTTCTGGCCATGAGTGTAGACAAGAGCCAAACACTGGTGCAAACACTTTGTTACGTCATGTTTCTGAGTTACACGGCTGCTCTCTGAAGAAGTTTATATGGAATGGAAGGGAAACAGTTTCCCGAGGGTGATCTGGTCTCATTCCATAACCCAGCTCACTCAGACACTCATCTCAGGGAGCTGATGTTGGTAACAGGGACAGTGGTAACCTCAAACAGATAGGGGGCACAGTGGAGACCCTCCCTCCTGTGCTGATCACAGGGGAGCTGATGTCAGTGGCAGGCCCAGTGGTGACTCCATCCATCATGCTCAGCACCAGGTGCCAATGTCAGCCACAAGAGGAAGAACGACCTGAAGGAGCAGACAAGGTGACCATGATACGCCCTGATCAGTAGGGATCTTTTGAACTCACAATGACTGATACAGAGTTGATTGGTCTATTGAAGAGCTTTCATAAATCCCATCTTCCACAATTTTTACAAGGCCTTGAGTAAACGTGGGTGCTGAAGGGTGATGGGATTTGTCCATGGCCTTGAGTTGATAAGCAGCAAAGACTAAACTTAGACTGTGAAAATACTTCTTGTTTATGGGACTGTCATTATCACTTCTTGAGAAGGAAGCTGGCAGAAAGTGATCATCTTGTCTGCCTGCACCAGAGGAAGGTGGACATAGGTGAGTGGGCACATGAAGCATCGCGTGAGATTTGCTTTTGCCTTCTTCCATGGCTCACATCCTGCTGTTCAAGTGTAGGTCTTCTTCCTTGCCTTTTGACTACTATCACCATGCTGAGAGGTATTCACTTTGTAAATTTCTGTCCTGTTTATCGTTGTTAGAAAGCCGTTTTCCCATTTCCAGAAGTTAGCCAAGATGAACTTAATGAAATAAATCAATTTGTGGGACCTGTGGAAAAATTCTTCAATGAGGAGGGTATGTAAGATTATCATTACCATTTGCATTATAAAGGTGGTTATCCTGCTGTATTAGAAGCACTATATACAGAGTCTTTGATGAGGAAGAAACAATGTCCTCAAAACCTAAGGCATCATTCCAGCTACTTCATAATGTATAAACATCTAGTTCAGCAGTGCTTGTTTTCTCCATGGTTCACCATGGGCCACTTTGAAATGTTTTCAAGTAATAACCTCTACATTCCTCACCTGTACAATTAAAAAAAAAAAATGTAGCCGGGCGCCAGTGGCTCACACCTGTAATCCTAGCTACTCAGGAGGCTGAGATCTGACGATCACAGTTCAAAGCCAGCCCAGGCAGGAAAGTCCATGAGACTCTTCAATAAACCACTGTGGCTCAAGTGGTAGAGCACTCACCTTGAGCTGAAGAGCTGAGGGATAGCGCCCAAGCCCAGAGTTCAAGCCCCACGACCAACCCCACCCCCCCAAAAAAAAAAATGTTTGTAAGCTGTTACAGACCAACACTTGAGCAAAATACAATAAAAGTAAGCAACTGTGGCTGGTCATGATGGTGCATACCTGTAGTCCCAGCTACTTCGGAAGCAAAGATTAGGGAGGTTACAGTTTAAGGCCAATGGGGCCAGAAAGTTACCAAGATCCTATCTTAATGAACAAGATGTGTGTGGTGGTATGCATCGTAATCCCAGCTATGCAGGAAGCATAGGTAGGCCAAGTTGTGTTTAATAACAATTTTAAAAATCTTTTTAATATTTACCTTATTAGAATACAGCAGAATTCCCCCTATCTGCTTTTGTTTAATTTATATATCAAGTACCCCTGGAAAAGTTGGCTGTACACCTTGGAGAGAATTAGAATTAGAAAGACAACAATAAAACAACCTTGAATATGAGGGCCCTTTGAAGGTGTTACATATACTGAAAACTACTGCAGTCAATGTTACTATGTTGCTAGTGTTCAAAGTTGCAGAGTTGTCCACAGATACATTTTATATTTAAAAATATGCTGTTCTTTTTGTTCTGATGGTTATCTTTCTTCTTTAATCTGTTTTTAATATCCTTGGTCCTTTGGTCTTTATTTAAACTTGAATATCTCACACTTCTAAGTTGTAACCTAACAAACAATCAGCACAATCCATTTGTTAAACAAATACATTTTCCATAGATGTCCCCCACCCCAGCTTCTTTTTGCCATCTTGCTCTTGAACTCAGGGCCTAAGTAGGATTACAGGCATGAGCCTTTCCCATTTTTATTCTCTCTGTTCACATGCTTTTCCTCACATTAGTTTGTATTTTGTGGAATTTTATTTAAACAGAACCATACATTATGTATGGTTTTATTCAGCTTCTTTTACAGCATTTTCAGTTTTCTTCATGTTACATATAACAGATTTGGCCCATCCTAGAGCTTGAACTCAGGGCTTGTCTCTGAGCCTCTTTGTGCTCAAGGCTAGATCTCTATCACTTGAGCTACAGCACCACTTCTGGCTTTTTTGAGTAGTGTATTGGAGATAAGAGTCTCATGGGGACTTTTCTGTCCAGGCTGGCTTTGACCTGTATCCTCAAACTGTCAGCCTCCTGAGTAATAGGATTTTAGGTGTAAGCCACTGACACCCAACCCAGTTGTCCCTTTTAATGCTGAGTAGCAATTTCCTTGTTTGAATATACTAAAGATTGTATCCTTATGAAGGTTAACATCAAGTGCCAGGATAACAGGTATGTGCTACCATGTACCGCTAAGATTGTTTATTAATGGAACCATACCACAAAGAAGCTCAGAGAAGTTCCCAGGCCTGAGTTCAAGCCCCAAAACCGGCAAAATAAGTAAATAAAAAAATAAAATAATAATTGAGTGCCTTAGGAGAGGAACACAAAGGTCCAATGCCTATGTGTGTGATCATCCAAAATAATACTTAATAAAATTAACTCCAGGCAATAGAAACAAAAGGGTATTGTTTGTTTGTTTGTTTTCAGTTTGGGTTTTTGTTTTTGTTTTTGTTTTTTTGCCAGTCCTAGGGCTTGAATTCAGGCCTGGGCTCTGTGGCACTGTGATTCAATGTGGTAGAGCACTATCCTTGAGCAAAAGATCTCAGGGACAGTGCTCAGGCCCTGAGTTCAAACTCCATGACCAACCAAAAAAAAAGAGAGAGAGAGAGAAGATTTGTACTTTTTACAGGAATTACGTAATTGTAACCCCTCTGTACATCACCTTTATAATAAGAGTAAAAAAAAATCTTTTAATCTGTGTACTTTTGTTGTGTGAACATACCATATATTTTTTTAATCTTTTTTTTTTTTTTTTTTGGTCAGTGGTAGGGCTTGAACTCAGGGCCTGGGTGCTGTCCCTGAGCTTTTTTTGCTGTAAGGGCTAATGCCCTTGAGCAGCAGCTCCTCTTTGGTTTCCTGGGGGGTGATTTGGAGATAAGAGACTCTTGGACTTTCCTGACTGGGCTGGATTTGAATCACAGTCCTCAGGTCTCAGCCTCCTGAGTAAGATTACAGGTGTGGGCTACCAGTGCCTGGTTCTTATATTTTGTTTAATCAAAATTATTTCTTCTTGTCAGTGGACTCTCGAAAAATTGACCGTGAGGGGAAAATCCCAGATGATACTTTAGAGAAATTGAGGCAACTGGGACTCTTTGGGATACAAGTTCCAGAAGAATTTGGTAAGTCGGGACAACAGCCACCTATCTGGTCTAGCGTTCTAGTAAGCACTCTGTATTTGTCCATGAAAGGATTCTTAACCGTTCAGGAAGACTGACCTTTAAATGTAGTACCTCTGCAATCTGGGTGCAAAGCCTACATGTATTATTGTGATTCTAGGCTCTGGAGCTTTTAACTGTCTGTCCTCTGATTATATTCTAGTGCTGCTTCTATGTACAATCAGCTAAGGATTTTGAGAGAAATAGCAGTTGGCAGCCCTTCAAGGGCTGGGCATGTTTTCTAGCTGTGAGTTGATTGTTTGGAGATGTCCAAAACAATACTTTTAAAAACTAATAGTTCTTGGGGCTGGGAAGGTGGCTCAGTGGTAGAGTGCTTGCCTTGCATGCCTGAGGCCCAGGGTTCAATTCCTCAGCACCACATAAGCAAAAAGAAAAAAGCCAGAAGTGGTGCTGTGGTTCAAGTGGTAGAGCGCTAGCCTTGAGCTGAAGAGCTGAGGGACAGCGCCCAGGCCCCACGACCAGACCCACAGAAGCCAAAAACAATAAAAACTAATAGTTCTTAAAACAATAGTTGTTAGCTGGGCATGACTGAAATTGACTCAGGAGAGCACCTCAGCAAGGGAACCTTGATGTTCTGTGTCCCTGCCTGTTTGTCTCTAGAGAGCAGAGGGTGGCTTCCCTTCTTCTGCTTTGAAGACTGAAGGTAGAGTTAAGTTCCTGCTAATGCCTAACTCAACAGGTCAATGCTGAGACAAATAGGAAAATGAAGGATAAATGAGTGTGGTGCCCAATTTTCTTCGGGTGTGTGTTTAAACTGTTGTGACGTATCTTCCTGTCATGTCATTTCTCTCATCACATTACCAACCATCTGAAAGAATTTGTCCTGTCCTTGCAGAATACCTAAAGTCATGAGAAACACTGCTAACCGAGTGGTGGGAAGCACAGAGCTCACCTCTACAAGTGACAACACAGATCCTGTTGTTTGTTGATGTGTTGATACCTTGTATTTCTTTTCTTTTCTTCCTTTCTTTTTTTTTTTTTTTTTGGTTGGTCATAGGGCTTGAACTCTGGGCCTGAGCACTGTCTCTCAGCTCTTCAGCTCAGGGCTAACGCTCTACCACTTGAGCCACAGCGCCACTTTGGGTTTTCTGGTGGTTTATTGGTTTCTTGGCCCGTCTGGCTTTGACCCACAATCAAATCTGGGCCTCCTCAGCTAGGATTACAGGCATGAGCCACTGGCTCCCAGCTTACCCTGTATTTCTTTTTTTTTTTTTTTTTTTTTTTTTTGGGTCCGGTTGTGGGGCCTGAACTCTGGGCCTGGGTGCTGTCCCTCAGCTCTTCAGCTCAAGGCTAGCGCTCTACCACTTGAGTCACAGCACCACTTCCGGCTTTTTTCTTTTTGCTTATGTGGTGCTGAGGAATCGAACCCAGGGCCTCAGGCATGCAAGGCAAGCGCTCTACCACTGAGCCACCTTCCCAGCCCCTACCCTGTATTTCTTAACACAAGCCCACTCTGTCTCTGTGTGAGGCTGTGGGAAAGACTGAACTTAGCCAGCTCTGTCAGGCATCAAGGTTGTAACTCCCAAGTGCTGGGTATTACCAGCATCACACGCAGCCACACTGCATGAAGATCCGAGTGGAAAGGAGGTGGGCTTGTTTCTCATCAGCTTAACAGAATTAGGCAGCAGTAACCTTACGTTCACGCCCACAGGTTGAGCAAGAATTTTCCCAGGCTAGAGAATTGTAAAGGCTAGGTGGGAGCTACTATACCAGAAAGCTGAAGTGTTTATTGACCAAGCCTGGATCTCTTCCCTTGATCTCTGCTTGCTGGCTACCCAGGGCCTACAAGTTGTGGCTTCAGTCCCTCCCACCACCAGCAGCCCCTTGTAGCTGTCAACTGTTCCCCTGTGATTGCCGTGCCCACCCCACCCCCAGCAGGACCCTTCTGCACCCACAGGGACACCTTCCCATGGGGTGTGTAGAGAGTACCCTCTAGAGTGGGCCTCATCCTGAGGTCGAGACTAGACCCACTCTTAGTTAGCCTGATACCCTTAGTCTTTGGATTATCATCTATAAAGTGAACGTAAAGCCATTAAGCTATACCTGGAAGTTGAAGATTATGCAGAGAACATACTTGAGTGGATTTTGTATTTTTCTGCGTTTTTTTCTTGATGTTTGTTTTTGCCAGTCCTGCAGCTTCAACTTGACCTGGGTGCTGTCTCTGAGCCTATTGGTGCTTACATCCAGGGCTCTCCCACTTGAGACACAGTCCAGCTTTTACTTGAGTAGTTTATTGGAGATAAGAGCTTCACAGACTTTCCTGCCTGGGCTAGCTTCAAACCATAGTCCTCAGATTTCAGCCTCCAGAGCAGCTAGGATTACAGCTGTGAGCCATTGGTGCACGGCTATTTTTCTGTTTTTAATACTTTTGTATTTTTACTCTTGGAGCAGTGGTTCCCAAATGAGGAAGCAGTGTTACCCCTCATGGAACATTTGGCACTAGTCAAGATGTTTCTGATGATTGTGGCTGGCATAGAAGCCAAGGGTGCTGCTAAAGGTACTGCAGTGCACAGGACAGACCACACAGAAAGTCGCAACCCAAATGATGCAGAGAAAGCCTGTCATGGAGCCCAGCAGATGCACTAAAAGTGTTAGCCTGCATGTATTTCTATACCTAGAAAAAGTATAAAAAGATGTACACAGAAAGTTTTTCCTGTGTAGTTTGATTATGGGCAATTTTTGTGTTCTTTGTGCCGTTCTAGATTGTGATTTTAAAAAATGGTGATCTGCTGTTACTTATAATCACTTTCCTCAATGGAAGGACTTGGGCTAGACTGAGACAAATTGATGTCTTTCTCCTAGGCGGCCTGGGGCTCTCCAACACCATGTACGCTCGGCTAGGGGAGATCATTAGCTTGGATGGATCCATCACTGTGACCCTAGCAGCACACCAGGCTATCGGCCTAAAGGTCAAGTGTCTGGAATTCCTGTTGGGGGCTTTCTGGAGGGAGGAGCTTCTTCTCTGCTATTAGAATGGAATGGGGCCTGATAGCTCAATATCTTAGAGAAGAACAGGCCCAGCTGCTCTTGGCACCTTGCCTTCCAGTTCACTCTGGCATCATCAGTTGACCCATGACCTGTACTTGGCTTATGTAAGCATAGCCCTTGGCTCATGGTGCCCCTTCCCATCAAACTTTCCTCCTGTGCCCATTACCTTGGACCCATCCTTCAAGATGTAGATCAGGTGCCACTCCTGGAAGTGAACCCATTCTGAGCTGTCCCCTGCTTTTTGTTCATGTACTTCCCTACTCTGTTCAGCTCAGAGCACAGTGGGACAGGTCCAAGGGCACACAGCTATCAGTGGAATTGCATTACGTAAACACAGACCACAAAGAGAGCAGAATGAGCCCTCTGTCCAGCTCCTCAGCCCTCAAAGCAGGAACCCAACCCCTATTAGCCATTTGGCAGCACCGAGTAGGGGTGGGGCACAACTGAACTTCCTGTAAACCGTTTCTGTGCCAGTTCCGGTGCTCCCACGTCCTCACACCATCATTCCACCCAGCCTGCCAGTGGCAGGGGAAGGGGCTTGTCCAGCTCATACATGGTGAAGTGAAGGATCAGAGGGTGATTATTTTTGGCCCAAGGACAGGAGAGGAGCAGAGATGAAAATGGCAAATGCTGATTCCCAAGTTCTGTTGTCATGCACACATCACTGTAGTACATATCCAGAGAGGAGTCCACCCAAGAGCAGGGTTCCCTGCCTTCCCCAGGCTGAAAACCTGGTCTCGCAGCACCTTCTTCACAAGAAGTAGATATCCTCAGGGGAGTTGTCTTACAGGGATATCTTGGACTCTTGTGGCTTACACTGATGTGTCTGTGTGCATGTGTGTTTCATTCAGGGGATCATCTTGGTGGGCAATGAGGAGCAGAAGACCAAGTACCTGCCCAGACTGGCATCCGGGGAACACATTGCAGCCTTCTGCCTCACAGAGCCAGCCAGGTCTGCCACCCTCTGTAGGATGTTTGTCAATTTCCAAGGTTTCCCCAGACAAGGGACTGTTATTGTATACAAAAGCTGGCTTAGTATTTCTCCCCTAACTGATTAATTCTAAAGAATTAACACAGTAACCATTCCTGCCAGCTCTCTGGATCTTCTTTCTCTCTTTTTTTTTTTTCCTTTGGGTCCGGTTGTGGGGCCTGAACTCTGGGCCTGGGCGCTGTCCCTCAGCTCTTCAGCTCAAGGCTAGCTAGCGCTCTACCACTTGAGCCACAGCACCACTTCCGGCTTTTTTTCTTTTTGCTTATGTGGTGCTGGGGAATCGAACCCAGGGCCTCATGCATGCAAGACAGGCGCTGTACCACTGAGCCACCTTCCCAGCCCATGGATCTTACTTCTCTGTCCTAACAGGACTGTGAATGAAGACATCTGACAGCATCCACCAAGTCAGTGTTGGTTGCCCACAACTCACAGCACATTCAGGACTGCATTCAGGCTTCAGAATACATGGAGTGGTCGTATGTTCACGCCTCCATTTGAAGAGCTGAGGCTCAGTGAGGCTATATGAGCAGCTCAAGGTCACACAGCTAGGATGGAGCAGGACCCGGCAGGGCTCCACTCACTTAGCCCTCCTTCCCTTCCCCTGAACCTGCACCAGTCGCCCTTCTGCTGAGGCCCAGACTCCTCCCATTAGCTCACTGAGCCCCTGTGGAGTTCACATTCTGTTCTCGAAACCTAAACTCAGGTTGTTTTACTGTGTGAAAGAGACATGGCCCTGTTTACCCTTCCACTGGTTTTGTGAGAACACTTTTATTAGAACCTGCCTGTATCTTTAAATAGGATTTTCTGTTCAGATTTTAGTGTTGAGGTGGCGTCAAAACCATATAACTCAGAAACCCAAACATAGCTATTGTCTAACCCCACATTTTAAAAACTTAGCAACTTTCCAAGATGCTTACACATCTTTATCTATTCCCAATAATGTCCTCCCTTGACCGAATGGCTCCTCTGCAGTGGGAGTGATGCTGCCTCTATCCGGACCAGAGCCACCCTGAGTGAAGATAAGAAGCACTACATCCTCAATGGCACCAAGGTACAGCCCACCCTCACCAGTCACCCTCAGGCAGCACCTGTAGGTACAGCCCGCCCTCGCCAGTCACCCTCAGGCACCACCTGTAGGTACAGCCCACCCTCGCCAGTCACCCTCAGTCACCACCTGTAGGTACAGCCCGCCCTCACCAGTCACCCTCAGTCAGCACCTGTAGGTACAGCCCGCCCTCTCCAGTCACCCTCAGTCAGCACCTGTGGGTACAGCCCACCCTCTCCAGTCACCCTCAGTCAGCACCTGTGGGTACAGCCCACCCTCTCCAGTCACCCTCAGTCAGCACCTGTAGGTACAGCCCACCCTCTCCAGTCACCCTCAGGCAGCACCTGTGGGTACAGCCCACCCTCTCCAGTCACCCTCAGTCAGCACCTGTGGGTACAGCCCACCCTCTCCAGTCACCCTCAGGCACTACCTGTAGGTACAGCCTGCCCTCGCCAGTCACCCTCAGGCACCACCTGTAGGTACAGCCCACCCTCACCAGTCACCCTCAGGCACCACCTGTAGGTACAGCCCACCCTCTCCAGTCACCCTCAGTCAGCACCTGTGGGTACAGCCCGCCCTCTCCAGTCACCCTCAGTCAGCACCTGAAGGTACAGCCCACCCTCTCCAGTCACCCTCAGTCAGCACCTGTAGGTACAGCCCACCCTCTCCAGTCACCCTCAGTCACCACCTGTAGGTACAGCCCGCCCTCGCCAGTCACCCTCAGTCACCACCTGTAGGTACAGCCCGCCCTCGCCAGTCACCCTCAGTCACCACCTGTAGGTACAGCCCGCCCTCGCCAGTCACCCCATCAGTTCTCAGACACCACCTGTAGTCATGTGCAACCACTCTTCATACGCCAGGAGTTACAAAGGATCTGCACATCACCTCCTAACAAATTACTGGGAGGGTTATGCTTTGTGTTCACTAAAGCTGAGAGACTGGCCCAGGGCAGGCTTTTGAACCTTCAGCAACAGAACCAGAACTAGAGCAAGGCATTTTGGTTCCAGAGTCTCCCTTTCTGCAGTCCCAGATCTGCCTCAACTGCCATTGTGTATTTGTTTACATTTTTACTACACAAAATTGCAGTATGCTACACTTGGACAGCTCCAGTACCTGTCTTGAGTGGTCACATGCTCACAGCCGGCAGTGTCTCCTGCTGCCAGCATGGTTAGGGCTGGATGTCATCTGTGACAGAGTGCATGGCTCTCTGAAGGAAAATTCCTAACTAACATGCGTTCAAGTTTCCTTGATTTTCTCTTTTTTCTTTAATGGTTTGCTTGACTCAAGATTGAAGTAATTCCCAACCATTGCAGTTTGTCAGACAGACCCTTTTTTCCTTTCCCTTTCTGAATTTTCATCTTTTCCTTCCTTTATTTTTGCCTTTTTTTAAATTGACAGATATTGGGTATGGTGTGTGCACATATGAAAATCTTGTGGGATGACCCAGTTTCTCTGTCCTTGAGGGTCTCCTGGAGTCTGGTGACAGGAGGAATGCCAGCTGCCTCAGTGCCGTTGGCTGTTCTCCACCCTGACCCCGGACATAGCCGCCTGTCTCTTAGGGACCTCCCCACTATGGGAGAAGCTGGGTTGAGCCCCAGATCACAACATATGAGCCAGGCTTATTCATCCATATGAGTTTGGCTTCTTTTTTTTTTTTTTTTTTGTCGGCCGTGGGGCTTGAACTCCGGGCCTGGGCACTGTCCCTCAGCTCTTCAGCTCAAGGCGAGCGCTCTACCATTTGAGCTACAGTGCCACTTCCGGTTTTCTGGTGGTTTATTGGAGATAGGAGTCTCACGGTCTTTCCTGCCCGGGCTGGCTTTGAACCGCGATCCTCAGATCTCAGCCTCCTGAGTAGCTAGGATTACAGGCGTGAGCCACCAGCGCCCGGCGAGTTTGGCTTCTTTAACACTCTGCTTGTGACATTTCTTGCCTGAATTTTTACAGGCAGCTGGAACTATACAAACAAAGGTAGATCTTGCTGGGTGTCTAGAAAGACCTTTTGCTCTCTTCTCAGGTCTGGATCACCAATGGAGGACTAGCCACCATTTTTACTGTGTTTGCAAAGACGGAGGTGATTGGTTCTGATGGCTCAGTGACAGACAAAATCACAGCTTTCATAGTAGAGAGAGATTTTGGTGGAATCACTAATGGAAAACCTGAAGATAAATTAGGCATTCGGGGATCCAACAGTAAGTAACACAGGCATGTGTGTGACAGGAACTCTGAGAGAAACTATGCAGATAAAGTTGTACATTTGTGGTTTCAAAGACTGACTTCTTTGACAATTCTGATAAACTGAACACTGGCTGTGGCTTCGTCAGTCAGGGCTGTGTGCCTCTGAGCTTTCAGTTTTGATGACACAAGGCAGATGAGGCCAGTGGACTTCTCAGCATGGCCAGGGATAGTGGACAACATGGAGGTGGGATGGCAGGTGTCCTACGTAAATACTTCTTTCTTCTTACTGGCCCTCCCAGGCCTCTCATTCACCCATCCATTTGTTTACTTACCTAGTTTTTCCTTTAAATAGTTGCACAAAGGCTTTTACTGCAACGTGCCCACCCTTAGCAAGCCATTTGAGTCCTGCGGTCCATGTACTATACCTTGAAATAGGAACCATCGGCCAATTTCAATGTACTTCATCTCTGGGCTCTTGGAGCAGGCTTGCAGGAAGTAGTTGAATGAAGATCAGCAGACCTAATTTGCCATGCCTGGTCTGGCTCCCCTTGAGTCCAAACTTTTCCAATCCTGAGTATCCTTTTCTAGGGTGGAAACTGCTGTGCTTATTTAGTAGAACATGCAAACGTGTTTTACAGAAAATGTGGTGTGGAAGACCTTCCTAGGCCCTGTCCTAATCCCTTTAGCTCCTTCCTCTGGCTGTGCCTCACAGTGATCTCCCCCTGAGAATGTCTCCTTTAACAGTAGCTAGCAGTCCCTGGCCACAGTAGCCGTATCTACCAGATACCTCAGAATGGGGCACACAGCAAGGGCATTTTATTCTCACAGTATTCAGGTGCCTAGGACAGGCTGCTTCAGCCCGCGATTTGGGTTTACGTCAACCATGTGCTTTCTTCATCACCCTGGGGCACAGGCACTCAAAGGCTTCCACTCACATTGCATCACACTAGCCAAAAGTAGACTTAGCGGCAGAGAAAGCAAGGTCTGCCCTCCACTCGTCTAGTGCTGGGAAGGGGCTCAGTGGTAGAGCGCGCACCTACCACACATGAAGCCCTGGGTTTGATTCCTCAGCACCACATACACAGAAAAGGCTGGAAATGGCACTGGTGGAGTGCTAGCCTTGAGCAAAAGTAGCCCAGGGACAGTGTCCAGGCCCTGAGTTCAAGCCCCAGGACTGGCCCCCCAAGAAAGAATACACAGCTGGAACCAAGAGTCCCATCTGCTCTTTTCCCATGCTGCCTCTACCCCACTTCATCCTCAGGCCCTTTGTATCCATTCAATCTCTGCTAAATGTGATCTTAAATAAATCTTGGGGCCCTCTCGGTCTTCTCTGCCCTGGGAGCAGCTCTCCTGCCTCCTCATTGGTTATGCCAGCAACCTTTCTCTGAAGCAGCAGCTCTTATGTGCCATTCTGGGCTTTGCCCTCTCGGAAGCCATGGGGCTCTTTTGCCTGATGGTAGCCTTTATCATCCTTTTCACCACGTGAAAGAGCCAGGAAGTCTGGGGAAATTGGTAGGCTCAGGGTTTGACAGGGAAGACAAAATAAATAGTATATTAATAAGGGAGAAAAAAAAAGTCTTGGGTTAACCTCCCCACTCCCTCACCTTGCTCTTGGCTTTTTACACTCACAGTTGGTGCTTCTTATCACTTCTCCAGCTCTGACTTCATGCTGGTGAATTGGAGATGAGTCTCTTGTCGCCAGGGCACTGGCAGCTCACGCCTGTCATCCTAGCTACTCAGGAGGCTGAGATCTGAGGATTGTGGTTCAAAGCCAGCAGGAAAGTCCATGAGACTCTTATCTCCAATAAACCACTCAGAAAACCAGAAGTGGCACTGTGGCTCAAGTGGTAGAGTGCTAGCCTTGAGCTGAAGAGCTAAGGGACAGCACTCAGGCCCAGAGTTCAAGCCCTACAACAGACCAAAAAAAAAGTCGCTTGTCTTCTCCAGACCTTGATTCTCAGATCTCAGCCTCCTGAGAGTAGCTAGGATTATATATGTAAGAAGCCACTGGTAAACGGTACATGGTCTCCCTGATAAGTGGATGCTAAATCCAAAAGGTTAGGTGATACGATAAAACTAACAGGACTTAAGAAACAAAGAACTCCCGCTCATCTGGTTGAACCACTACTAAATATCCCCATGCTGCTGATCACAAATATGGTATATAACATGTGAACTCTGTTATATATTACAGACTGTGGTAGACAATTTGCTCCAGGGAAGTTAGAATGAACTTGTGACTTTGAAATTATGTAATCATTTAATCACAATCAAAAAAAAAAAAAAAAAGAACCTCGGGGAAGGGAGGGAGGGAGGGGATGGTAGGGGGAAAACAATGGAGGGGGTAACAATGTTCAAGAGGAAGTGTACCCATAACCTCACTCATGTAACTGTAACCCTCTGTATAGTAGCTTTACAATAAAAAAAAAAAAAAAAAGAAGCCACTGGTGCTTGGCTTGACTCGGCCTTTAATATGAATGTTATGTAACATCTCCTTTAACCCCTCCCCATGTCTCTTCTGTGCCCTTTTTATTTTACCCATAGCACTGAGTATAACATCATGTTACCTTGTTTGTCTCCTTGTCCAAAGAATGAGCTCCATAGACAGGAGCTTGGGCATTGTGTCCTAACCTTCCAGACTGAATGGTACACATGCAAGTCAGGTGCAAAGTGATTTGCATTTGTTAGATGTCTTAATTTTTATGTTTCAGCTTGCGAAGTCCACTTTGAAAACACCAGGGTGCCTGTGGAGAATGTCCTTGGAGAAGTTGGGGGTGGGTTTAAGGTGAGTTGCTATCCAAGGCTCAGGTGAGTGCTGTGCATTTAGGGTGAGTTTGGGAGGCTGCTGCTCAGGCCAGAAAAGGAGGGAGAGAAGCAGAATCTAGAAGAGGGATCTGAATCTCACACACAGTGATATAACCTAGCCAGCCCACATTCCTGACTGGTGTAAAAGCTGGCCAGTTCCAAGGACCTTGTCCCTGAGTTTTCCAGGCACCTTAATGTTGCTGGAGTAAACACTGGCCCCTTCGCAGGGGTATGAAGCCATTTAGTCTCTGAGAATCTACTTGTTCCTCACACAGGATTTGATTTGAGAGATTCTACCCTTCAGATACAACAAAGTTCTACCTAAAGGAAAAATATGGTGTGGTATATTTTCCAAATCATAAATAACCAAACACCCCATAAAAAAATAATAGTTGAAATTGAGCTTTGGGAAAAACATACCGTTCATAGCATTGTGGGGGTTTTTGTCGCTAAGCCCTGGCCCTGACTTTAGGAACTGTCCATCAGTATCTCATACTTGGTCTGTGCTGTCTTAACAAGGCTCCACTGTTCACCCTCCGGTCAGGTGTTGCTTTCTCCCTGCTTGTCTGGGAAACCCGTCTGCAGTGTCTCTTCCGAGAAACCTTTGCTTCCCAGCCTCCCAGCCCCTCTCCAAGTCCTGTAGTGCTGCAGCTCTCCCTCACAGAGTGGCCATCCTGTTGACTCACTGGCTGTTTGCACCCAAGACTGTGGTGGGTCAGGGCGCCTCCCGGACCGGACAGTGCTGCGGACCGTGTCTGTCCGAGGAGTGCACCTGTCCCTCTCTCAGCTGTTGGCTTTCTGCACTGGGTCAGCATAGTGAGGAAAGAGAGATGCCAGCAGCAGCATCGGGTCACTGTTGTTGGCACCTGGCTGAGCTCACGCTGGGAGGGCTTTGGGAGTGACTTCGCCATGCTTAGGCTCAGCTTCTTGGTCTGCTGTTGTGTTTCTCTCAGCACTGCTGAGGGCCTTTAGGCCGCCTGGGGTTTCTGCTCCCTCTCCTGAGTGGGAGGGACTTGGAGAGGTGCTTTGACAGTAACGCGCAGTGGCTGTAGTAGTCTCTTAACCACGTGGGTTTGAGAGCCAAGATTGCTTTCTCCCAGCTTGAGGGCAGATGGGATGACTCACTTGGCCTGGGTGCTAGCAGAGTTCTTTTATACTTGCCATTGTTTCTTAAAAACAATGTTTTTACAACATTTTTTTAGTAGGTAAGTGTTCTCCCCTTGCGTCTAGCATTGTACCTACCCTTTCCATCCCCCTGCAGGTGGCCATGAACATCCTCAACAGTGGGCGGTTCAGCATGGGCAGTGCTGTGGCTGGGATGCTCAAGAGATTGATTGGTAGGTGGTCAGCCATGGACAGGAGCCCTCTGCTGTGTCATGTTACCCTGGCTGCTCACACGGCAGCCTAGGAGGGTCTGTCTGCAATTCCCCTGGGTAAGCCAGGGCTGACAGACCACCTGGACAGATGGTCAGCTCCAGTCTAGCATCTGGGCTTTGGTTTCGACCAGACAATGTGTACACTTTTCCCGGAGGTTAGGCTTTGTATCTCAACATTACTGTTTTATCTGCACACTGGGGTAAGAAGGAGGTAAGAAAGGACCACTGTCCTAAGAACAGAGCTGCTTGGTAAGCTCTAGCCGCAAGCTGGGCACCAGGTCAGTGTTAATTCTGATCTTCTTGTGTGTGTCCACATGGAGAATAAAGAAGAGAGTTAGAACCCAGGTCCCTCGGCCTCTAGACCCTCATCTGATCCTCTCTGTCAGGGTAATAGTCTCCTTTGTCTGTGAACTGAGAGCAGCCTGTGGCCATTCTCCTGAGGTGAGTGTGCCATGGAGGATGCCAGGGAAGAATGAGCCATCAGTGCTTTGTGCCTCGCATAGCTCGGTGCAAGGTGGGTACATACAGGCTTTGAGTAGGGTTCTTCCCTCTGTTTGGTAGATGAGGAAAGTGGGGTCCAAAGAGGGCAAGTGATTTGTCCAAGACCATGCACCTGGACTGAAGTGCAAAGCTGTCAGGCCTCAGGCTCAACATTCTTCTCTCTGTGTTGTGGTAGTTGTATGGGCTGTGCCTCCCAGAGTGGAGAACTCAGTGAAAAAGCTTCCTGGGTTCCTGTGGCCAACCTGTTCCCAAAGAAGCAGGACCTCTGATAAGTCCCACAGATCAGAAATATGGATGTCAGCCAGGCACCGGTGGCTCACACCTGTCATCCTAGCTACTCAGGAGGCTGAGATCTGAGGATTGCGGTACAAAGCCAGCCCAAACAAGAAGTCCATGATACTCTTATCTCCAATTAGCTACATGAAAACTGGAAGTGACACTGGGACTCAACTGGTAGAGCACTTGCTGAATTGCTGAGGAACAGCGCCAGGCCCAGAGAGAAAAAATAATCCTTGGGGATTATTTGGTGATAGTTACACCAGTGGAAGCATTTGGAAAATGGACTTCAGATGGAGCTAGGGGTGCTGGCTTGTTTCTTGGAGGTTCTCAGAATTCAGCCTTCAACTGTGTACCATTAAGCCCCAGGCCTGAGCTTTGAAACACCTAGGGTGCTTGAATGAGCACCTAGGGTGAAGAAGGGCTCTCCCACCTCTGGGTGGTGCTCTGTGTATCCAATTTGTGCCAGGCGTCTGCCACCTTCCATCAGATTACCTCTTCACAGCCATTCTGTCTACCAGGGAGGTGGAGTACTCAGCCCTGGCCTCCCACCAGTAGGAAAAGGGCCAAGACTCAGAGCTGTGAGAGTCAGAATTCCATGTCCTTCTGCTCTTGCTGGCTCCCCTCATGGGTGAGGACCAGGTACCCTGTCTCTGGTCCACTGGTGCTGGAAAGGGGGAGCTTCGACATTCAGGGCATCTGATCTCAACAGATGATGTTCATAGTTCTCGTTGGATGTTGGAAGGAAAATGGTTACAGCTTTAGGAAATCACTTTCAGATAATGAGAAACGTTCTGGCACCTTCTAACAACTCTTCTCTTCATCAGAATGGACCGCTGAATATGCCTGCACGCGGAAGCAGTTCAACAGGAATCTCAGTGAATTTGGGCTCATCCAGGTACTGAGGACAGACTTCATGTGTGGACGTGAACAGGGTGCTCTATTGCTGCCTCTCTGCTAGTGCCTTTGGTGCGACAACCTGGGAGTAAGACTGGATAAGACTTTGTTGACATAGGCCCTAGGATTTGATTCTTCAGTGTAGAAGGCTTCTGACAGTTACTTAACGTCTGTCTTGGGTTGTGAATTTGGAACTTGGCACATATACATTGCTTCTTGATTGTGGTTTTATTTTTTTGTTTTTTGTTTTTTGGGTCCGGTCGTGGGGCCTGAACTCTGGGCCTGGACGCTGTCCCTCAGCTCTTCAGCTCAAGGCTAGCGCTCTACCACTTGAGCCACTGCGCCACTTCTGGCTTTTCTTTTTTGCTTATGTGGTGCTGAGGAATTGAACCCAGGGCTTCATGCATGCAAGGCAAGCGCTCTACCACTGAGCCACCTTCCCAGCCCCTTGATTGTGTTTTTGTAAACACTCCAGGAAAAGTTTGCACTGATGGCTCAGAAGGCTTACGTGATGGAAAGCATGTCCTACCTCACCGCTGGGATGATGGACCAGCCAGGGTTTCCAGACTGCTCCATTGAGGCGGCCATGGTGAAGGTAATCGCAGCACATCCAGAGAGCTTGCATAGGAGAGAGATACAGAAAGCCTGCTTAGCTGCAGTCTCCCTGACGCACAGTGCTACCTGCCGTCTTCCTCTTCTCATCAGTTCATAGGTCAGCCTGGCCTTGGGCTAGGATTTTTGCTGCGCTCTGATGCAGCACAGAACAGCATTGCTTCTTCAGACATCCCACTGCTTCCCAGTGTGGTCTGGGCTGAGTTGTTATTGGCCAACTTATGGCGTATAGAAATGGGAGAAAACAGACATTATAACTTCACATTTCTATAAAGTAGCAGCATTCCTGGGAAAGAGTATCTTTTGCTCCCTAGGTTGATGGCCTTTAATCTTTTTGGTATCAGACCACACTTTGGTAAAATGTTTGATAAGGTAAAAGCAGGTTACTAATTATAAAAACTTTTTGGTGAGTCACAGTACCGAGTTGGTACTCAGTCAGTACTCTGGTTTTCAATTTGAAAACAGGCAAATCATTAGGCTAGAAACAGTGCTTCTATGCTTGGAGATTCTGAAGACATATGTAGGAAACTTCCTGAAACTGTTTTAGCCAAGAAGAAGCCTAAGGCCCTGTCCCCATCTGCGGCTTTGTCAGCTGATCCCCTAGAAAGGTGGGTTGCTTCCTTCACCCAGACCAGGGCTCTCCAAGGACACTGACTGGGGACTTGGAGCTCAGGCCAGGCCTACAGCTAACTGCAACAGTGTCTCAGAGTGGACAGAGAGAAATGAATCACGGTCCTGCCAGGTGGAGTGTCCAGACATCTGTCCAAGTGCAGAGGATCAAAATGCCAAAAGAGTTGATATCTAGGTGGGTTTTTAAAGCTGGAGTTACACCAGGTGTGGAAGGGGTAGAAGAAGGCCTAGAGGTAAGAAAAGGCATTGTGGGGGTAGAAAACACAGCTGGTTATTGTGGTCTGGGAAGGCCGAGGGCTTGCTTGGTACCTAGTAATTTCCTCCTGGAGTCACTCATCTCAAAGCTCGGGTTCTTCGCAGACAACCACTGCTTCCTGAGCAGCGGCCTCTGAAGTCTAGGTTCTCCTGTGGGCAGGGATGCTGTGCTGACCTCACCCAGCGTCTTTGGCAGGTATTCAGCTCTGAGGGTGCCTGGCAGTGTGTGAGTGAGGCGCTGCAGATCCTTGGGGGATCTGGCTACATGAAGGATTACCCCTATGAACGCCTGCTGCGTGACGCCCGCATTCTCCTCATCTTTGAGGTGAGTGGCCCTGCTGCCAGCCGCTGTGCTTCCTGTGTTCACCTCTTTGCTTCCTGCATCTGAAAGGTATGCTGCCGAGGGCCTAGCAGAAGCTTCCCAGAGCCGGGAGGGGGCAGAGAGGCCAGGCAGTGCTCAGGTCAGGAGCCTAAACCCTCTCTTCTGAGCCCACTGCCTCCGATTGATCTGCTGTGGGTCTTTGCCAAATTTCTTCTCACTGGATGGAAAAGCAGGTCTTATTGGATACCTGAATTCCAGTTCCATCTTAGGCTCTAATTCCGTCCCTTGCCTTTTGGGTCTTTACTTTTCTTCTTGATATATTGAGATAGCTTATAAGGTCTCTCTGTTGGGTCATTAATTCTCACACTGTATTCTTCCATTTTTGGCCTGATGACTTCACAAGTCTATAAAGGGTCAGTTTGGGGGCTGGGAATGTGACTGGGTGGTGGAGTGCTTGCCTCGCACGTATGAAGCCCTGAGTTCCATCCCTCAATACCACATACACAGAAAAAGCCAGAAGTGGCGCTGTGGCTCAAGTGGTAGAGTGCTATCTTTGAGCAAAAGAAGCTCAGGAACAGTTCTCAGACCCTGAGTTCAAGCCCCAGGGCAGCAAAAATAAATAAATAGATGAATAAAGGGTCAGTTCATTCAGCAGGTAGCAATAAGGAGTGGGGTTGGGCCACAGAGGCTGCCTTTTGGTGTGGTCTGACTGCATAGGGGCCTGGAGACACAAGATTGTAGCCGGGTGCCAGTGGCTCACGCCTGTTATCCTAACTACTCAGGAAGCTGAGATCTGAGAATCACAGTTCAAAACCTGCCCAGGCTGGAAAATCCTTGAAACCCTTTATCTCCAGTAAACCACCAGAAAACCGGAAATGGTGCTGTGGCTCAAATGGTATAGCATTAGCCTTGAGCTAAAGAGCTGAAGGGGACAGCACCCAGGCCCAGAGTTCAAGCCCCATGACCGGCACTAAGACACAGGATTATGTTCTCACAGAGGGAGCTGGAGTCCAGAGGAACCAACATGCACTTGGCCTTTGAGGGTTGGGAAAGACAGATTGGGACTGCGGACAGTTTAGACTGAAAGGCTGTGTCAGGCCTACACAAGTCTTAAAATGGCTATTACTAGGGAAGCAGTAAGGAAGCCTTTCTGGGAACATTGGTTGGCTCAGGTAGTAGAATGGGAAGGAGGTTGGGAGGTAAAGGGTCAGAGGGAAGATAGAAAAGCAGCTGACTTTGGAAGACTGAGCAACAGGGATTCTGGAAGTCAGAGGAAGTTTTCAAAGAAGGAACTATAATTCCAGGGAATATAGCGAGAAGAGAGGCCCGGGTGCTTCTGACAGGAAGGAGAGCAGACTCAGAGCCCATGGAGGCCAGCCCCCAACAGGGAGTTTGGAGCTGTGCCCTGGTCCGCTGGAGTACCACCCCGTCGTCAGGTCCTGGGCCGTCTCACCCAGTGGAGGGCTTCCTTGGCCGACTCTGTCCTAGGTGCACATGCCCCACCCAGCATCTCCTTTCCCTTAGCAATCAAGGACCCACCTGAAGGTAAAAGAGCCTGCTCCTGAAGGACAGAGTGTATCAGCCCTAGGTACACACAGTCTTCAAAAACACTGTCCTCAACCCAGGGGGGTCCATTTTCTCTAAGGCCAACAGGTTAGCTAGGTTAGGAAAACTCTCAGGCTGTGCTTCTCATGTTGCCAGGTCTTCATTGTGAGACCTGCTCAGAGCTGGACAGTATTGTGGGAGCCTATGCATCCTTCTTGCCCCCTCTGCCGGTGGGGCCAGCCCAGCCACAGGCACGCAGGTCAAAAAGCTGGTGAAGGCCCTGGCTCACAGCATCATGGTGTTTAGTAGGCAGAAGCCTTTCAGCCTCACAGCAACAGGGTGGAATTAGGTGGGGAGGGGCCGTGAGCATGTGAGCAAACTTCCAAGCCCCAGTACTGTGCTCACCCCAAGGAGCACTGCCCAGGTGCCCTGGGCTGCGCCTGCACTGAGGGGTGGTGTGCGGTAACTCAACCCCATTACTGCTGGGCCTGCACTGAGGTGCTCCTATCAGCTGTCCCAGCTTTCGTAAGGAATCTGACCTCAACCTAGGCCCAGTGGAGTCTGTCCCATAGTTGCTGTGCCTAGGCATCGACAGCCCAGAGAGAACTAGCATTGGTTTTTGGGGGGATTTTGTTTGTTTGTTTTGTCGGTCATGGGGCTTGAACTCTGGGCTGGGCACTGTCCCTTAGCTCTTCAGCTCAAGGCAAGTGCTCTACCACTTGAGCCACAGTGCCACTTCCGGTTTTCTAATGATTTATTGGAGATAAGAGTCTCATGGACTTTCCTGCCTGGGCTGGCTTAGAACAGTGATCCTCAGATCTCAGCTTCCTGAGTAGGATTACAGGCGTGAGCCACCGGCGCCCGGTGGCATTTGTTTTAATGAGGAGTTTCGGGTTTACAGTCAGAGTGACCTATGCAAGACTAGCCATCTGGTCAGCTCCCTAACCCATGCCTGTGCATGCCAAGACACTGGGTACAACCCTGCCCTGTGCTTCTGTCACGCCGCCTAGCTGGAGCAATCCTGCAGGTGCTGCCAGTAAGGTGTCTTTTCATCCCCACATTGCTGGTCATAGGGAACCAATGAGATTCTTCGAGTGTTCATCGCTTTGACAGGCCTGCAGCACGCCGGTTGCATCCTGACTGCAAGGGTCAAGTATGTACCTCCACATCCCGCGGGGAAGGGGACCGTGCAGCCACACACACGGGCTCCATCCAGGCTTGTCAGAAGGGGAGGAGGGCAGCTGTGCTGAATGGGGGTGGTAGGGCCTGAAAACCAGCCTCCAGCTTGTCCTGCACCTGGGGGAGAGGAGCAGAGCCAGCTGCCACAGGGAGCCCTCACTCCTTATGCCTCAGGTCACGCCCTCAGATCCCACACAGACACTCCATCGCCCCTGTCCCTGCGGCTCCTGTCTCCCACAGCTGGAATGGGAGTTGTTGCCCACCCTGAAACCATTTCCTCTCCTTTGTGTCCTGTTCTCTGCCCTGTCATAGGGCACAACAAAATTTAATGCTTGATAATAGCATTTTCTGAGTCTTTGGTGAAAGCCAGGCACTGGAAAGCCGACCCCTTGACAGGCTGCTCCCTAAGTAAGGCATGGGGGGGGGGGGTAGGCGTCCAGGAGCCTGCATGCCAGCTGGGCATGCCGAGCTCCAGGGGACATGCTGATGGACCGTGGGAGCCAGCCGTGGGGACCTCGAGTCACAAGGCTGGACTTCCTGCAGGGAGCTTAAACGAGGCAATGTGACAGTAATCATGGAGACCATTGGCCAGAAGCTTCGGAACTCTCTGGGCCGATCTGTGGACCTGGGACTAACAGGCAATCTTGGAGTTGTACACCCAAGTCTGGGGGTAAGTAAGCCTAACACGTGAATCCCTCAGTTGGGTGGCTTCCAGCACGATATTCCCCTTCCAGAGGGATGAGACTGGAGGCCCAGGCTCCCCAGGGATGTTGCAGAGTCACCTAGAAGGCCCACTCCATCTCTCTAGAGCTCCGGGCAGGGCTGTCAGGTGGGCGCAGTGGGGACGAGGTACTGAGCCCAGTTTTTCTTCTGCCTATGTAGGAAAGTGCCAACAAGCTCGAGGAGAATGTGTATTATTTTGGCAAGACTGTTGAAACCTTGCTACTCCGCTTTGGGAAGGTAAGCCTGCAGACCCGGGGGAAAACCAGCCCCTGATATGGTCAGTAGCCATGAGATTCATGTGTGCCCATTGCTCAACCATGGGACCAGCCTAGAACAGAATCCTTGAGTGTTTGGGTCTGGGCGATGTGGCTACACAAACACTGGGGAGGCCTCTGCTTGGTGAGTCTTCGAAAGAGTTCTCCTAGGAGCCTTTCCTGTCAAGACTTCCTTCTGTGAGGTGAAGGGCCACTCACCGAGGGTCTAAATCTGGAGTGTGTCTGTGAACTCGGGCTGTGAGAGGTGAAGTACCAGTCTCTAGTCTTGCCTTGGTACCTGTCTGAGTATATAAAAAGGAAAGCATAAGTCAACCGAGAGCCTACCTCCGATAGCCTGAAGGAAAAGTTACACAGACCCGTGTTACTCAGGAGCACAAGGAGACTGAGGGGCGGCACAGGGTGGCTCCAGAGGGCCAGCCAACTGGGCCAGGCAGCAGGCCTCTACCTCTGAGCCTCTGTCCCCAGACCATTGTGGAGGAGCAGCTGGTACTGAAGCGGGTGGCCAACATCCTCATCAACCTGTATGGCATGACGGCGGTGCTGTCACGGGCCAGTCGCTCCATCCGCACTGGACTCCGGAACCATGACCACGAGGTGAGCTGCATCCGCCCGTACAGGACAAGAACGGGTCAGATCCACTAGTTTGCTGGGTCAGGGCGGGAATCAGCAACTCACTGACTAAGCCAGTCCTGGTGTTCCATTCCAGTTTACTGAAGCCCAGGGCTGGGGAGGTGTGGGGTTGGGTGCCTAGGGAAGGAAAGGCTACAGTGCCAGTTGGTGGTCACTGACCATGGGTGAGTCTTGAGGATGAGTGGAAGTGATGCCCAGAAGGCTATGTATGCTTGTTCTGCCAGGGCCTTGAGAGGGACCGTGATGGTCTGGAGCCAGGGCTAGCGTCTTTGGTTTCCTGCCTGAGAGAAGAGAGGGGAGTTAGTGACGGATCCACAGACTCATAGCCTCCCCTACCTCGCCATCTGTCAGCTTTGTGCATTCCTCCCTTCACCAGAAGGAAGGCGGGTGCCTTCACCAGCGCTTCTATGTACATGCCTGGTTCCAAGGGAGCACACCAACATGGATTATGTCATCTACCTCACAGAAGAAGCTGTCCCCTGGGCTGGGAAGTTGGCTCAGTGGTAGAGCGCTTGCCTTGCATGCATGAGGCCCTGGGTTTGATTCCTCAGCACCACATAAGCAGAAAAAAAAAGCCGGAAGTGGCGCTGTGGCTCAAGTGGTAGAGTGCTAGCCTTGAGCTGAAGAGCTGAGGGACAGCGCCCAGGCCCTGAGTTCAGGCCCCACTACCGGACCCAAAAAAAAAAAAAAGAAGCAGCTGTCCCCAACATTCTGTGTAGGTGGCTCTTGAGGACAGAGTGAGTTTGAGTTAGGGCTGAACATAGAACACAAAACTGACTTACAGGCTAGGGCTGAACCCAGCTGCCAAGAAGGAGCCCTGCCAGATTTCTCAGAGTTCAAAGTTCAAGCCAAAGCTCTCAGCAGCTGTCCTTTTGTGACCTCGGTTCTGGCAGGTTCTGTTGGCCAACATGTTCTGCGTGGAAGCTTACTTCCAGAATCTCTTCAGCCTGTCTCAGCTGGACAAGTGTAAGTGGGTAGTTTGTGGGAGGGAAGCCAGTCCAGACATCTGTCAGTGGGCCCATTTCTAGGCCTTGTTTGCCTCTAGGGCCTGCTAGTGGCTTATATGCAAGCAGGGATTGCGCTGCAGATGGAAACCAGCCTTCACACAGCCTTCTGTGTGGGTCCTGCTGGGTCTGCCTGTGCCTGGCCTCCTCTTGCATCTTCCCAAGGAAGGTCACAAAGGAAAGGGAGCAGACATTATACCTGGTCAGAAGACAGCCTCCCTCCTTTTAGCCTCTGAACTTCTGCCAAAATAAACTTGCAGTTCTCTGCAGAGAACATGGCCCTGGAAAATAGGAGGCTTCAGCTTGTCTAGAGTGTTGTTCCATAGGTCCTGGCCACATCTCAGAGTGTGTAGCTCAGGGTCTTCCTCCGACCCTTAGAGTTCTGGCAGCCTGCCTAGCTTAGCCCTCTGATCAGGAAATGGTGGTTAGGGCTATTAGAGCCATGCTGAAGAGGGTGGAATGTGATTCACTGTGGCTCTGGGAGCTGATCAGGGGCCCCAGGCAGCTGGCAGGACTTCTCAGGCGTGGGGGGAGCATTTATGAATGGCCTTCTCCACCCTCGTGCTCTGAAAAACCTACTAGGTAGTAAGACCTCTATCTGCAGCTCAGAATCGTGCCTCAGAGGAGGTAGGGGCCCAACTTTGTATTGCCTCCTCTTTTTCCTCCCAGATTCTCCAGAAAACATGGATGAACAGATTAAGAAAGTGTCCCAGCAGATCCTTGAGAAGCGAGCCTACTTGTGTGCCCACCCTCTGGACAGAACATCATGAAACAGTCCGTGTCCCTACACCAGATGTCCTAGGCCCAAACTGATGTGGGACTGCCTCCTCACAAGATGGAGACCTTGAGGCCCCACCTAAGGCTTCTCCTGCCCGGAGGGAGTCTCAGATTTGACCCTGCCAGCGTCTGTCTGCTGAGTACGGCTTCTGAACGGATGTGAAGAGAAAGGAGTCATGCATTACTGGCACTGAGTGCGCACTGAGGGTTCTGCAGGTGCCATGGTGGAAACTGGGGTGTATGCTGCCACCTCCTGCTTGGAGCCTGGAAAGCTGCTTCTACTAGACTCCATATTCCAGAAACAGCTAAATGTGTGCATACCACTCATGGGAACTAGGAATAAAATATACCTACTACCTGTGTCAGGAACCATTCAGTTAACGAAAGAAAGAAATATGTGCTATTTTGTGTGTCCCTTCTAGCCTGGCTGTGGAGCTTATATTACTACTTATTATTTGTTTTGTTGTTTGTCTGTTTTGTTGCCAGTCCTGGGGCTTGAACTCAGAACCCGGGCTCTGCCCCTGAGATTCTTCCCCTCCCCCACCCCACTCCCTTTAAGGCTAGGGCTCCACTACCTGAGCCACTTCTGGCTTTTTCTGAGTGGTTTACTAGAGGTAAGAGTATCACAGAGCCAGGAGCTGGTGGTTCACACCTGGAATCCTAGCTACTCAGGAGACTAAAGTCTGAGGATAGTAGCTCAAAGCCAACCCAGGCAGAATAGTTCTAGAGCCTCTTATCTCCAATAAACCACTAGAAAACTGGAAGTGGAGCTGTGGCTTAAAGGGGTAGAATGTTAGCCTTGAGCCAAGCCCTGAGATCTAGTCCCATGACTCACAAAAAAGAAAGTCAACAGATTTTTCTGCCTGGGCTGGGTTCAAACTGATGTTCAGATCTCAACCACCTAAGTAGCTAGGATTACAGGCATGACCAACCAGCACCTAACTCAAGTTTGTGTCCCCCCCCCATCTCTCCCTGCCCCCCCTTCCGCTCCCCCCTCTGCCCCAATCCTGGGGCTTGAACTCAGCCTGGGCACTGTCCCTGACCCTTTTTGTGCTCAAGGCTAACACTCTACCACTTGAGCCACAGTGCCACTTCTGGCTTTTTGTGGGCATATTAAGAGTCTCACGGACTTTCCTGCCCAGGCTGGCTTTGAACCACAATCCTCAGATCTCAGCCTCCTGAATAGCTAGGATTACAGGCATGAACTGCTGGCAGCCAGCTAAAATTGGCTTTCAATGGATACCAACATGACCCCAAGAATCCCTTTGATAATGGCTTCTCTTTAGTTTTTGGTGGTCCTAGAGTTTAGAACTCAGAGTTCTGTACTTTGCCACTTGAGCCACACCTCCAGACCAAAGCACTTAGCACACACAGGCTCAGTTCACACAGTCCTCAGCGCACACAGCACAGTGCTCAGTACACCCTTTCAATTGACTTGAAACACTGCATTGCTTAGAATATAACAGTAGTGTGGTTTTGGGTTTTGTTTTTTGGTTGGCCTCTGCTTCTGCAAAAAGAACGAGCAGACATTTTTTCTGGTCAGTCATGAGCCTGAACTCGGGGGCCTGGGCGCTGTCCCTCAGCTCTTCAGCTCAAGGCGAGCGCTCTACCACTGGAGCCACAGCGCCACTTCTGGTTTTCTGAGAGGTTTATTGGAGATAAGAGTCTCATGAGGGGCTGGGAAGGTGGCTCAGTGGTAGAGCGCTTGCCTTGCGTGCATGAGGCCCTGGGTTCAATTCCTCAGCACCACATAAACAGAAAAGCTGGAAGTGGTCCTGTGGCTCAAGTGGTAGAGTACTAGCCTTGAGCTGAAATGCTGAGGGACAGCACCTAGGCCCAGAGTTAAAGCACCTGGACCAACACCCCCTTCCCCTGCTAAAAAAAAAAAAAGGGCTGGGAAGGTGGCTCAGTGGTAGAGTGCTTGCCTTGCAAGCCGGAGGCTCTGGGTTCGATTCCTCAGCACCACATAAGCAAAAAGAAAAAAAAAGCCGGAAGTGGCGCTGTGGCTTGAGTGGTAGAGTGCTAGCCTTGAGCTGAAGAGCTGAGGGACAGTGCCCAGGCCCAGAGTTCAAGCCCCAAGACCGGACCCAAAAAAAAAAAAAAGTCTCATGAGGACTTTTCTGCCCTGGCTGGCCTTGAACCATGATCCTCAGCTTTCACCTTCCAGAATAGCTAGGATGACAGGCATGAGCCACTAGCACCCAGCTTCTACAAGAGTTTTGATAACTAATCTTAAAAAGGGGAAAGTTAGCAGGGAGAAACAGGTAGGCTGTATGCCCTCACGCCTGGAATGAGCTTCCCTGGAATGGGAACTCTGCAAGCTGCCTCTCTGGCAACATAAACCGTTATGACCAGGTTGAGAACTCTTGCAGACTAGTTTTTCTGATACATATCTTCACCTGGCGCTGGGCAGGCTGGTAGTGGAGCCCAGGGAAAGAGAATTCTAGCCTGAGAGTGAAGCCATGTCAGGGCAAGTGCAGAAACACATTCCAGAAGCTTCTTAGCAATCCTTCCTACTTCAGGAAGGTGTTACAGTGTTATCAGCTGCCCTCAGAAGTACAGACAGGAAATATTGCCCTTGTTTTGATTGCATCCAACTTTCTGGGAATCTTTTTGCTAGAGAAACACTTCTGTCTCCCTGAACAAAGTGTCTGTGTTCTATATCCACTTTTAAATGATCCTGAGCATCTTCCTAAACAGGATGAAGGAGACAAGAATACTCAGGAGTATTAGTGTAGCAAGCTTCATGCTACTTTTCTTCCTGGGGGACTGGCAATATCTTAGCCTAGAAAGGATTTAGAAGACACCTGTGAGCCCCAGCTTCAGCACTGACGGGCCCAGGGGCTGTGGTGACAGCTCTGATGCTCCAGGAGCCTTGACACCAGCCTCCCACGCCCCTCTCCTCCTCCCCCCTTGTATAGCCATACCCAAATCGGGGGGAAATGTGCTCAAAATTACACAACGACTATCACACATGGGACTAGAACTCAGGCCTCCTGTTTTCCAGCCACGTGTATAACAGGCAACAGACCAACCCTGGTAACTATTTTAACTGTATTTTTTTTCTTTTTTGGTACTGGGGATTGAACCCAGGACGTTGCACTTGCTAGGCAAGCGCTTTGCCACTGAGCTACATCTCAGCCCCCTGGTAACTCTAGAATACAGATATTGGCTGCATTCTGAAAACAAGTAGCTAAGAGTAAGGATGCAGTGAGCCAGAGCTTTGCCTGCCAGCACATCAAGAGTGTCAACTCAGGTGCTGTCTTACCTGTTACAGGCTTTGAAACTACAGGAGGGGGCAGCTCGATGAAAGGTGGTGGCTTCTTGTACAGATCAAAGTCTAAGTGGCGCTGTTCCCAGCTCCACCTGTCTCGATCCAACACAGGCTTCAGCACATTAGCAAACAGTTCATTTGCCTTCCACTCCTAAGTCGGGGAACAGGTGGGTTAGGAGGAAAGAGGTGTGTGAAGACCCCTCACCCTGAGGCCCTGCTGCCCGCTGTGCACCTCATGTAGCCCTCCGATGGTGCTCAGACCGAGAGGCTGGTGATGGCTTTCAGTGTCACTCTGAAGCCCCAACACTTGGAACCCATTGGCTGTGAGCCAGGCCTGGCGAGACTTCTGGGCTTTCTTCTCTTCCTCTGAGTCTTGAGGCTGCACGGTAGCTGAGAGGTAATTCTGTGAGTATGTGAATCTCCTTCTCGGCTCCTAGAAATGAGTGAAAAACAGATATGGAGAGATATTTGGGAATCGTGGTGTTAGGGTGGAGTGATCGTCAGGATCCCAGGTAAGTATCAGAAACAGCTGGAAGTGTAATGGAAGTTACCGACACTGGAAACAGTTCACTCAGATTAAGCTCTGGAACCCCAGAACAGTCACATGATTGACCCCCACCACACCCTCCCACCAGTTCTTTGTGTAAGTACTAACGGCCTAAACCAGGGTGACAGCTGCTGTCAATAAGCAGCAAAAAGAATCCTCCCAGAAGTCAAGTCTCTGCACTCTCAGCATATTTATCCAGACCTATGCTGAGGATTCTGGCTCACCTTTGAGCATGAAGGACTTGCACTTACTGTGCAATGGGACTCCTTTCCCAATACCTGATCCCTTGTCCACTTCCCATGGCTGAGTGGTTTTCTTCTCCCGGGAGATCTCTTACTGACCTGTTGTCAGAGACGAGTTTATTGTATCAGCTAATTACCTTTGTCCTGTTTGGGCCTCTTACTTACCTTGGCCATCTCTTTGTACAGCTCCTTCTTGGCAAGTTCTGCTGAATTCAGGGTCTGAATACTATAGTTGTGCACAGCCTTGTTGGGAGCTGTTGAAATTCTGATCATCTTTACTGTGGCCTTAGAAGGCTTCTTGACCTGGTAGACTTCCATGATATTTTTCTGAAGAAAGAGAATATAGTTGTTACCATACCAGACAGCCAGCTAATGTGCCAGGAGATAGTCTCATACACAGAGCTGTGGGCAGTTGGTTAAAGATTTCTAATACCGACGGGCGCTGGTGGCTCACGCCTGTAATCCTAGCTACTCAGGAGGCTGAGATCTGAGGATCGCGGTTCAAAGCCAGCCCAGGCAGGAGAGACTGTGAGACTCCTATCTCCAATAAACCACCAGAAAACCGGAAGTGGTGCTGTGGCTCAAGTGGTAGAGTGCTAGCCTTTAGCTGAAGAGCTGAGGGACAGCGCCCAGGCCCAGAGTTCAAGCCCCATGACCGACCAAAAAAAAAAAAAAGTCTCATGGACTTTCCTGTCCAAGCTGGCTTTGAACCGTGATCCTCAGATCTCAGCCTCCTGAGTAGCTAGGATTACAAGCCTGAGACACCAGTGCCTGGCTGGCATCCATGCTTTTAAGCAGCTTGAAGATGTTACACACACACACATTTTTCTCTAGATGCAACATGTCTTAAGAACATTCCTCCTCTTCAGGAAGTACAGCTGAGATAAGACAAGGCTTGGAGTGAATAGTTCTGGTGGCTCCCTTCTCTATCTGATGTTTCTGGCTTCCCAGCCTTCTGTCTCAGGCTAGAAGCATAGACAGGCCAGAAAGTGCCCAGATTACATCTCTCAGCCAGTGTGGAGACAGCCTAGCGGGGCTTGGAACCCTTGGACAGAGGAAGGAGATATGCCCACCTGGATCAGGCTGTCCTTCTGGCCTTTGTTTTTTAGCAACATTGCATTCCGCCACTGCAGGTACTTCTCCTTGTGAGCATGGATCTTGAAAGTGAGAGTCGAGGTCTGCTTTTGGGTACCTCCAGTGGTGGGAGCAGACGGAGGTACCGTGATCAACAGTGCTCCACCTGTGAGCTCTTCTTGTGAAACAGGCATCCCGAACTCTTGGCTCAGGTCTTTGATCATGGCAGAGGAAGGCATCAGGTC